TTTTATCTCTTGCGATACTTAATAAACTTTTGCACTTTTGCACTCGCACTAACACACACGCACTTTATCGCGAACAAATATAACAGTAGTTTCTTATTGTTGTTGCTGTTTTGCTTTGGCTGCGCACACCACAGAAAAAAAAAAATGGAAAAAAAATTATGATGATGCATAAATAAATAAAAGTTCACGTAACAACAAGCACAACCATTTTCGTTTACGTTTAACTGCCTACTGACATTTTCTGCCAGCGTGCGCGTTCACGTTCACGCGTTTACGTTCCCAGCGCACACACAGAGAGCCAACAGAACTCTTAACGCAGCGCCACCAGCAGTTGACACTGGCAATGGCAAGGCAGCGACTTCGACTGCGACAGCGATGGCGATGGCGACAGCGACTTTGGCAGCAGCAGGAGCAGCAGCGACGTTGTCGCCTGAGCGTAGCATGCACTTCCAACTGGGATATCCTCTCTCTCTCTCTCTGTCTCTCTCTCTTATTCAGTCGCCTGTCCAATGGGACATTTGCGGGCTATCGAGGACTTTTCCGCTATCGAAAGTGCTGCCCATCATATGTGGCTGTATACCAGTTAGAACAGGATCGCTATCGAATTATTTCAAATTGGAAATTTAAAACGTATTTTCCTTTCAATATTCAATAAGAAATGATCAAAATAAAAAAATGACACACATAAATATCGAAATACGCGACTTATCATTGATATCACTATTCCAAAACTAAATAGCTGAAGATAAGTCTATTAGGTATTTCTGTAAAGTTATTTCTTTAATTTCTTTGCGAAATTAAAACAAGTTTTTAGTTCGGAATTACAAAAAACAAGTGCTTCACAATAAAAATGAGTAACCCGTATAAATAAATTGTCTTAGTTTAAACAGAACTCTAAAACAGTCCTTAAATCTCAACTACGTTGCTGAAAAAAGGGGTAACAATAAGTAATCTGAAGTTTAATCAGAAATGTAGAACCTATTTACATATAAATTAATATTTCCTAATTATATTAACAGCGATTCAAACGTATCAGTAGGTTAGTTAATAATTATATCATTTCTTGATTAATAAGCAGTCGAATAAAATTGAAATTAGATCAAGATTAATCAATTATATTACTTTAAGCAACTCATTTGTGTTGATTAGGAAATCGTGAACAATATTAAATTATTCAAAACAAATTTTGTCATTCATATCACCTAACATTTCTGTTTTAATCGACTATTCACAAAGAAATTAATAATTAACCAAATAGACAGAAAACTGAAGTTAAATCCTCAAACATCAATTAACAGATATAAATACAGAGAACAAAGAAAAATATGAAATATGTACCTTTATTGGGTAATAAAACTATTTGATTTAAAATTCGTCAGCTTTCTTAAATTTTGTATTCAATTTTGTTTTCATTTCTATTCAATTACCATTTCTTTAATTAAAGTTTTTTTTCCATTTTTTACTCAAAATAAATTTAATTTTTATTAAATATGCATTCAATTGATTCGTTTTTTATTCAACTTTGCAATTAATTTTATTTCAATTTTCATTTAGTTATACTTCAATTTATTTAATTTTATGTTTCAATTTCGATTCAACTTTTATTAAATTTGTTTTCAAATCTTATTCAATGTGTTTCCATTCTTTCCGTCTTTTTTTTAACGATTATTGAATTTGTATTTATTTTGTAATGAATTTTTAATAATATTTTTAAAATATTTTTTCTATTTAATTTAGCTTTTTACTGAGGTTTTAAATACATTTTTTACTTTGTATTTAATTTTCATTCAGTTACCTTTTTATTATATTTTCCTACAACTTCTTCTCATTTTGGTTGATTGGAATTATTATACAATTATTTTATTAATTTGGCAATCACTTATTGCTCTAAAACTGTACAGTTTTGTGACAACGGACTGTGTTTAATTTTCTACTCAAATCACCATATGGTGAGTTTCTACAGCGTACAATTGCCAAGCATTTCTTACCGTTTGGTATGTTTTATGCAGCGCTGCCAGACGGTGCGAAAAAAACGAACGCAGAACTGCCAACCAAATATAACGAACTTTTGAATTTTCGTTCATCTACCAATATGTACGTATATATTCGCAGATCAGGAACTCTCCTTGGAAATTTGTAGGAAGCAGTGTGTGTGTGAGTTACGAGTGTATGTTCTTGGTTGAAATTATTTGGTGAACAACAAAAATTGACGACAATTAGCAGATATTGCTTGTACCACTAATTACTCAAAAGATAGTTTAAACTACTATTGATTACTAATGACTGTTCACTAATATCGTATTGAAGAGTTGGTAAGATGTTGAACTTAATTTTGAAGTCAGCTTATAGAAAGAACTGTTCCCGTTTCCGAACTCAAGCAACTTATGCGGAAATGAATTCGGCAAGCTCACAGAATTTCGAAAGAACTGGCAACTTTTTAAATCGTATCTTGATGGATTTGTGAGTTATAGAAGAGTATTTAAATTCTATCAATTATTTGGAACCAAGCACAGATTTTGTTGAATGATGGTAAGGGGTTTTACTGTTATTGGGGTTTTGGATTACTGTTCCTTCATTAAAACAGTTGAGATCGAATAGGGCTTAAACTAATTAGGTAAATAGTTTAATAGGTCTGTAATTCTCCCTTCTTAAGAGGTCTTATTCACTGATCGGTTGACCCGAATTCTGGCCTCGGATTCAGGATGGTTAAGGCGTCTGTTTCTGTGAAGAACTTCGTCACCAATTTACACAAATTCATAACTTTTTAAGGCATTTCGCGATCACGCTCACAGCTCTAGGCGGATTCCGTTGGCTTCAAAATTGTTATAAAAGCCAATAAGCCCCCCCAATTAGTTAGAATAGTCAGCGATACTTGGCACAACATGCAGGTGTTGATTATATTGGGATTGGCTTTGGCGAGGTCTGTGCGGAATTGCTAGAGAAAGTCTATCCGAAGGACTTGCCGGAAGGGCCAAGGATCGAGGGACGCATCACTAGTGGCTATCCCGCGTATCCCGGCAAGGCTCCCTACACTGTGGGCCTAAGTTTTGTCAAGAATGGGAGCGGTGGTTGGTGGGGTGGTGGCACCATTATTGCCCACAATTGGGTGGTGACTGCCGCACATTGCACCAATGGGGCCAATTTTGTGACCATCTATTACGGCGCCACCTGGCGGATTGCGGCCCAGTACACCCATCGGGTGGCCAGTAATAACTTCATCCAGAACCAGTACTGGCCCAACAACAATGGCAACGATATCTCACTGATCCGTACCCCTCACGTGGATTTCTGGTCGATGGTCAACAAAGTCGAGCTCCCCAAATTTAAGGATCGGAACAACAAGTTCGTGAACTGGTGGGCCGTGGCTTGTGGATGGGGCCGCACCCACGATGCCAGTTCTCAGCCCGATTGGCTGCAATGCGTCGATGTCCAGATAATGACCAACGACGAGTGCGGCAGAAGCTATGGAACTCTGCCAGATGGTATTATCTGTGTTCGAACGCCCAACGGCAAGTCGACCTGCGCCGGCGATTCCGGCGGGCCTCTCGTCACACACGACAACCCCATTTTAGTGGGCGTTACGTCCTTTGTGTCCGTAGCCGGTTGTAAATCCGGCGCCCCAGCTGGCTTCACACGCATAACCACCCATCTGGATTGGATTCGCCAGCACACCAATGTCGCTTACTATTGAGCGGGGCTTATCATTATCTAATTTGTCATCTTCTTTCGAAAACCTATATACTTGTATGCAAATATTATATACTTGTGGGATAATAGCTTTTACGATAATAACTGCTATTCTCCAATGGGCCGGCCTAATGTATATCCTTTTTTTTTTTAATATATTTTAAAGTAAACTAATCTCCAAGTACAATAAAAATCTGATATAGAAATCCAGCTTTGTTTTTACATTAAGTATTCAATATTATTGAATAAAGACTTGTTCGAGAACTATGAAATTTGTTCTCATTAAATAAACTATTTCATTTATTTCGCGAATATGAATTAATTTCTTAAATTTAATCTATTATGCTCATCAAATCTACATAGTTTATTTGCTACATTTTCAAACTCGAACCTTCCCGCCAATCAATTGAAACAGCTGCTTAGCACAGTTGACACCAACAGTCTGGCAGCACCACTTACTCATCAATACATATCGCGTAATCGATGTGCCTTTGACAAATGTTTATTAACGGTTTTTTGTTATGCACTTATTTAAATAAATCATCAAAAAGGACTGCAATATCTATGTGTGCCCATAACAAAGGTCTTATACCTTTCCATTCAGAAACACCACAATAGTTTGTAGTCGATATATTTCATAGCTATCGTTATTTATCGCTTGGCGCCAGGGTCAAGTGCTTAAAAATAATAACAGCTAAATATTATTGATTTAGTCAGACCCTGACGAAACATACAATTTAAATATACGATGGCAGCGCTGTAAAAATGAAAATTTCATTGTTATCAAAATTAGCTATGGCGAATATTTTTTCCTAAGCATGTGCCATGGATGTGCTTATACATACATATGTATGCAGCTATATATGTATGTATATACATTTATAGGTGGATAGGGTGAACTTGAAAAGCGCCTTAGGGATGTCACACTATCAGCGATTGATCATTGTGCAATAAGTCATTATTTATAATTCTACTCTTTGTTTTTAATGTTCAGTCAACTGCTTAAATTCAAGCAATATTTTTCATTTAATATTGCACAATAATGCTTTGCCCAAAACAACAATAACGTGTTATGTATCGTTAATTTTTGAAATTTTTTTATTATGATGCACAATGTTAGAAAATTCTAAATAAACTTGCATACTAAGCAATAACAATTAGAAAATTATTATATATTATTTCGCTTAAATATCTCGCCCACGTAAATATCGATAGTGCAGTGCGTTATCGATGTGTTCTACGCAGCGATGTTGTTTTGTATACCATTGCCACCACCACTAAAGGAAAGACAAAGACACGAATGAGACGAAGACGACGACGGTTAAAGTTAAAACACTTTAGAATTAAAAACACACACACATAGAGAGGAACAATTTTTTTTAGCTACATATATACATACATATGGCAGACAAATTGCAGCAAACTGCTGCGAAGACGACGACGACAGACAAATCAGTTGCCAGTAGAACGTAGAGCAACAACAATAGCAACAGTAACTGTAACAAAAATTGTTTGTGTAAAGGTGTGCAAAAAAAATTAAGAAAAGGCAAAGGAAAACGAAAAAAATCTGTTATAAATACATAGTTGTGTTCAAATTTGGCAAGGCAAATTTTCTACAAGTTATATATTTAATTTTTTTTTTTTGACTCGCAAAAAGTGAAATCGATAAGTAAACGCAATAGCTGCACCAGCAGTAACAACAGCAGCAGCAAAATAACAACAAAGAGGAGCCACAATTTAAAGCAGTAAAGGCAAAACAACAAAACAACGTCAAAGTAGAGATTTAATGTCGCAGTTAATTTGTGTGCTACACAAGAGCCACAACAACAGCAGCAACAACACCATCAGCAGCAGCTGAGGAAAACAGAAAACGAAAAAAAAAAGAACGTACGACGCAGACGAAGTTCGCGTTCGCATTGTGGAACAGTCAGCCGTTTAGTTTGTGTGCGAGTGTAAGCGAGAAAGCAGACGCGCGTGCGAGTGAGAGAGCGCTAGCTGGTGACTGACGTTCGTACGGTCGGTCGGGCGGACGCACGGTTGTTCCCTTTCGTCGTTTTGGTGGGGTATCTTCTGTTTCTCTGTGTGTGTGTGCGTTTTTGGTGTGTCGCAGCGGCAGCAGCAGCGAAGGCGACGGCGGCAGCAGCAGCAACAACAACAATCACAATCTGTGACGACGTCGACGATTTTGACACAAGCTTTTCGTTGAAAGTTTGTTTCTAAGCTCGACTTTGTGTTTGCTGGTCTAGTTGTGTGCGAGCACGCGTGTGTGTGTGGGCGTTAGCGTTAGTTTTACTGTTCGGCAGGCGCAGCCACGCGGTGGGCGTGTCATTGACGCATCAGCGCACAACAAAAAACCAAGACGCAAGACGCAGTTTGGGAAGGATTGCAAAAAACGAGGAAGTAACAAGGAACTAAAGTTGAAAGTTGAAGCCACTGTTGCTGCTGCCGCCTATAACAACAACTACAATAACCAACGCTGCCTTTAACTTTGTCCAATAACAAAAGAAGACAAAGGAAAACAGAGAAAGAAAAGAGAGAAACAAACGTCAACATTGTCGTCATCAATACCAATAGCAGCAGCAGCTAAAACATATGATTTTTGTTTGTGTTGTTGTCTTTGCGCGCTTCTTCTTCTGCGCATTCAACAATAATAACAAGAACAACAACCGCAGCAACTAAAAGAGAGATTGCAACTGAGAGACAGAAAGAGAGAGGGAGAGAGTTGTTGTTTTGTGGGTGGTGTGCTGGGTGGTTTGCTGCCTTAACTGTTTTGACGTCGACATCGCTGCTGCGTAACAACAGCGCCAACAATAACAACAACAATATCAGAAACTGGTAAGTGTTGTTTTTTTTTTGGTTCGCAAACAAAAGCAGTTTCTCAATAGACGAATTCATTTTCATATTTATGCAAACAAAATAGTGTAGATTTTAAGTTTCTTACACACACTTATGTATGTATGTATGAAGATAGCTACAAAAGTATCTGAAATTCGCACAAATACACAAAAACCAAGTGTGCAGCTATGTTGTGTATGTATGTGTGCTTGTGTGTATTTACAAACAAAGAAAACCCACAACACGCATTTAGTTTCACTTGCAAGTGTGTGTGTGTGTGTGTCACTTTTTTTGGGAGCGCAAAAATGTTGACTCCGATTTCATAATTTGTTGTCAAATTTGCATAATTCTTGTGAATTGTTATTTAAGAAAAATAATAATAAATACAATAAAGCAAGAGGCAAAAAATACACACACACACAGATGCTCAAACAGCCACACGCACACAGGTACAGCTAGCAGATGGCAACAAAAACAGTGGAAACGAAACCATTGGAAATAAATTGATAAGTGAAACACGGATGCACAGTGGCTTCTACATAGGAAATAATTAAGTATAGTTGGTTACCATAGTGCTTAAAAATCTTCATACCTTAAACTATATTAATAATTATGCAGACGTACTGCACGCTCTCAGATAAAAACAGCTGCAAAAAGAACATTGAAGCTAGAGTGACGCTTCTCGTCTCTACAGAGCTCTGCAATAATTCTGACGATTTTGCTATACTTAATGATACTGCAAAGCTTAAGCCAAACTTAACTAATTTAGCATACTTGCTGCTATAGGAAAGAACGTTTATATTTAATTTAAATGATTACTTTTTATGATTTCCAATCGAAAACATTGTAAAAATACATTAAAAAATAATGAAAGAAGGATACGCAGATATTATATTAATATTACATTAATATTATATTAATAAAATTGTTAAATAATGAAAATAGAAACATTCTTTCTGAATGGCATGTACATTTTTCAGAAATTCGGTTGTGTCACTCATATATCATATGGCTTAATACAAATTTAGAAAACATTCAATTATTGTACAATTTCTAAAAACATCAAATTTATAAAATGGATTTTAGATATAAAGTACAAATCCTGTTAGCTGTGGCTATGGCTAGAAACATGTGGCCTTCATAACTTATTGTTAAAATTATATAAGAATAATAATATTTGACTAAAGTAATATTATTATGTTTATTATTACTAAAATACCGAAAGCATTAATATTCGATTGACAATACAAGATTAATGGACACGTTTTTTAGCACAATACCTACTATGGTAGACCCACTGTGCATGCACACTGCACGGAATCGTAGAGGAAAAGGAACAGAAAAAATTTCATTGCAGCTGTGCATTAAATTGTGCTTGTGTGTGTGCGAGTCTGTGTGTGTGTGCGTTTCAAATTTTGTTTTCTTTGTGCCTTGAAAGTTTTTGATAATTGGTTTCCTTTGTTTCAAATAATTACATATCTACACACATACATATTATACATATATTTATGTATGTATGTAGTATTATTATAAACTAAGCAAAACCCATATACCTATGTATGTACATACATACATACATATATACATACATACATATAACCAGAATGACAAGAAGTTTTTTCTGTTTTTAAGTTCCAATTATTGTGCATTCAAGAGTTGAAGGCACTTCAACGCTATTTTAATGAATCTATACGAATAGCGCGAATGTCAAAAGTTTATAAAGCTTTCAAAATCAAATAAATAAACAGACAGAACCGAAAGAGCAACGAGAAGAAACAGACAATGTTATTATTGAATGCTGCCCCCCACTGTGTTTATCACCTTGCCTTGCCATGCCATGCACTCTGCCATTGCGATTATATATGTATGTACATACGTATTATATACATACATACATTAATGTACATATGTATGTATGTATGTATGTTTGTGCAAAAATGTTTGCCAAATATTCAAAAATGTTCAAAAAATGTTGTGGGAGTGGATCGGATTGTTGGGAGGTTATTGCTGATGCTGATTGCTGATTGCATATATGTATATACATACATATATACAAAGATAGATATGTGTAGTATATAATGCACAAATTATTATTCTCTCTAAAAGAGCAATAGTAGCGATCATATATGTGCATATTTAATAGTTGTGTTTAACAGCAAATTAAAGAGCAAATAATATTGCTAAATCAAACTTATAAATACCTTATACCCAAGAAGTGTACTCTATATGATGAAAAGCATGAATTGTTAATTGTTATTATTATTCGTTAATTACTATTACATATTTACGAAATCGAACGTCAAATTAAAGAAGATATATAAAGAAGAATATCTTCTTTAATTTGACGTTCGATTTCGTAAATATGTAATAGCAATTAACGAATAATAATAACAATTAACGTTTGGCACAAATTGTATTAGTTTTAGTTTTAGGATAATGTTTTTTTTTTTGAAGAACTCGTTGATTTATATTAATTTTTTAGTATAAAAAGATTTTTCTTAAAACCACCATGGTCGAGAAACTGGAACGATCATTAGATTTTATAGTTTCCCAAGCAAACACACTCTCTGACTAATCTGAATCTATCAAATATTAATCCAATAATTGATATCCACTGCAGGAATTAACTAAAGATGTGCTAAGCTTACGATAAGTCTCATAATAATCTTCCTAAGTACAAGTATATGCTTACAAAACAGTAATCAATCGTTTTGAGCCAAATAGAAATTTTGGAAAATACAAAATTTTACATTTCGCTAGCGTTGTAATATTACATTATTTGGAGCTTTTAAATATGGAGTAATTGCTTAATATCTAGTGGATACTAGACTGAAAACTAATGCCCACATTTGAACAATTTTCCTAATAAGGTTCATAGCAGGAATCACAAGATACATACATTCTTCATTTACTATAGAATAGAAATGCAATATTATTCGTTTGTTAGTCCAGTGTTTAGTGTAGTGTCATAGTTAGTGAGTGTTCACTGTAAGCCCACACCCTGCCACGTACTCTTTAGTTTAGCCGCTGTCGAGCTCTGTGTCAATTTCATAATAAAGTTGCCATTTGCCCTTGCCCCCCATTCCAACTAAGCCAACTACTGTCCCGCTGCTCCGCCGCCCCGCTGGCCCACCCGTTCCATTCCCGCCCACTTTGGGATAGTTAGTGAGTGTGTGTGAGTGTGTGAGTGTGTGTTTGTGTTTGTTTGTTTGTTTGGTTTCGGTTGCTGACGCACTCGCAGTTTTCTAGGCACTAGAGTTAATGGTCGTGAGTGGAGGGAGGTGGGCGGACGGATCTTGCAATCTGAGGCAGCGTCATTTGAAAAATTCGTCCTTTGCTGCTCTTATGATGTTGTTGTTGTTGTGTAATTGCGTGCGCTTTTGAAATACCGTAGGCGGGCATATACACATAGACACAGCACATATATTTGTGCATATATGTATTGTTATTATTTTTAGTAACACCTGTTCGCAATATAATTATTGCATATGCGTGTATTTGTGGTTTTCTTTGTGTAGATTTTTGTATAGATTTGTCAAGTGGCTTTGGCAACGGACAATATAAACAATGTCACAAACACACACACACACACACACACACGCCTTGATAATGTATATATGTATGTATATGTATACATGTATGCATGATGCATGTGTGTTTGTATATATTGCGTGCATTAAGAAATTGAACAAACGTTGAGCTGACTAACTGAGTGAGTGACTGACTGACTGACTGACTGACTGGCTAGTTGAACTGCCTGTCCAGCTTTGCTTATTAACATTGACATACACACCTATACACAGATATATATATATATATATATACACACACATTGAAAACAGTCGCGCACAAAGCGTAAAAACTTTGCTGCTTATTATTGCTAAACAAAGACAAATGCGTTGGGTATTGCGCCTCCCCTGTTTTGGGTCACCATTTAAGTATGTGCGGATGTACGGTGGTAGGGTATGGTAGAGTAGGGTGGGTGTGCAGCTGGTATGCAAGCAGGTGTGTGTGTGTGTCTGTGTGTAACTCTTACTTATTTGCATGGACGTGTTCTATTGCTCGCGCGTGTGGAAAAACAACTGAGGAATGCAGTCAGTGTACGTTGATGCTTGTGGTATACCCTACTATCATTAATTAAGCCAGAATTTGTACCAAAGCTATGCACAACTATAAAATATTCATAGCAAAATTCCAAAGGTATTTACAGCTCGTATCCTTTTTCCCTTGTCTGTCTGTCCATCTGAACGTCTGTATTTTGCAAACTAAGTATTTCAGTTAGAGCTATGCAACTTGGCCAGTTGACTTGTACAGAAATAAATTCAGTATATGCGTGTGTGTGTGGATTTTATGATTTGATAGTTAAAGTGAATTACAATAAATAAACTGAATTGATTAAACCAATTCCCATCCAATGTTGTTGTTGAAAAACTTTGCAATATTCAATTGAAAATATGTATTGCAAAGCTGGCATATCGATTCAAAAAAAACTATTTGGAATTTTAAGTCAAACATATGTATGTAATTGCGTGCGATAAGTGCTGACACTCAATCCATCGTTTGGGCCGTGGTCTGATGCTGATGTTGAGTGATTGATCTGCCCTGAATTTTGGGGCTCTTTCAGGAAGCTTAGAGAAGTCTGTGTGAGGTGACAGGATGTGGTTTCTGGGGCCAACTGAAAAGCTCTCTTCTCTTCACCTTATACCCCGTAAACCTTTTCTTTCGGGTCTCTTTCTCTGTGAGGCCACAGGATGTGGTTTCTGGTCCAACCTAAGAAATTCTAATCCTTAAATCCTTAGGCCGTGTGTCAACAATAAAACAGTAAATGTTACTGACCTGCTTTTATTATTGAGTTCCTTTTTTTTGTAACATCTCTCAGATGAATCTTTTAATGCAGATTCGAAACTATCCAAAGGGTAAAAGGCTAACCTAAAAAGTATGCATATATGCAACAAGTGGATGGAATCGTGCCAGACCCATTGTTATCGGTATCGATATAGACCGTCCGTCTGTATGAACATCGATAACTTTTCAATCATAACAGCTAAGGCCACCAAACTTGTTACGCCGACTCGTCTTTTGTATACGCAGAGCAAGTTTGTTAAATATTTGATATAAATATTTGATATAGCTGCCAGATCAATTGAAAAAATGTTTCTTAGTAAAATAACTTTTTCACTGAGATAAGAATATCTAAAGCAAATGTTTTGGAGTTTCATTAAAGTCCGTCTACTATATCTTATGGTTGCCATCCGAACGATCGGTACCACCTTCGGTCTTAGTAGTAAGAAGTTTTCGCTTTATTTTGATATTGCATTTTTGTTTTGGTAATGTTTTTTTTTATTTATTTTTAACTAGCTACATAATTGCTGTCATAGGCATGATTGGTAAAATTTAGGAAAAGGGTGGGACCATAAGGTTTTACTCCTTTTCTTTGTCTTCTTTAAACGGAATTCAATAATTCCGAGTAACAAGGGCTTAAGCAAATAATTATTATTTTTAATTGATCACAAAAAAAAATTTAATTGAAACCATTGGGGTTTTCCACTTGGAAGGCATTAAGTAGAGAAATGACTCAGCTGATCGTTTGAGTTCTTAGACTGCGTCTGGAACCATCGACCATGTATCGGTATCGACTTACCTGCTGGCATTATTCATGTCCTCTTGACACATATTTCTGTTTTCTTAACGTTTACAGTTTACAAACAAACAAGTTAGAGAAAAAATTGTTTACTAATTTGCTTTTATGGCTATGACGTTTCATTGGCTGTTTTTGCTATTCGCTTGTGTATACATATGTACATACATATGTCTGTATATACGAGCTTATGCATAAATATAACATATGTATATGTATGTATGTATGCATGTGTGGATTTTGCCTTGCGCGTGTTTTGCTTTTTGTTTTTTCAATTTGTTGTGGGTCTGGGGGGCGCCGAGATTGATGTGCGTGTGAGGAGTGTCTGTTGTTTGAGAAAAGTGCGTAAGTACATACAAGTATGTACATATGTATGTACGTCCATATTGTAAGAGCTGGATATAATATAATACATAAATAAGTGTACAATAGCTTGCAAATTTGCGAGCAATTGCTTGGCCAACATATCGCATTTGTTTTTTCAATTACTACTATTTTTAAATGTACATCATACGTAACATATGTACATACATACATACATACATGCATATGTATGTATCTACGAGTATACTCGGATTTGAGGGGTGTGAATATTTTGTTTTATTGCACTTAATTTAAGCCCTGTGGAATGATGCAAGGCAATGTGCCATTTACATATGTATATATGTATGTACATTCCCACACATACATACATGTGGATAGCTAACTATGTACATATGTGTGTGTGTGTGAGCGGAGAGCGCAAAAAATGTGAAGAGCATCAGCAATAATAATGGCAAAAAGAACTAAATAAAATAAACAAGGAAAAGAACACGTAATTCGCTAATAAAAGTTAAAAGTGGTCGCACGTTTGATTTTCTGCGGGGTGCCCTGCCTCGTCGGTGGGGTGCCGCGGGGAGTCGACACGAGTGTGCAAAGATTAAAACAGTTTTATTGAACCGTACACACATACACAAGCAATGTGAGTGGAATGAGCGAAACAAAACGGTTGGGGAAGAACGCTTGTGGGGTGGGCAGGGCGAAAGGGTGAAGAAGAAGTGAACCCTCTCTACTATATACTCTTCTCTATACACTATATTCTATTCAACTGATTTCTAATATAAAAAGCCTTATGACATCAGTCTTAATACTAGACTATAAACTAGACTAGTGCTAGTGTGTGTGAATGAAAAGATAATGTACGAGAGCGAAAAATATTAATTCTAATGTAATGATTTCCAATATATAAACCCTATCTCATTAGTTTAAATACTAGATACGAAAATTATTTTTTAATGATTTCTATGATTTGGATTTCAAACTTCTAGCATATTCCCATTTTCCTATTCGTTTAAATAATGCGGAATCAAAATCTAAAATGAAACTGAAAGTAACACATTTCTTTGCGAGGGGGTTACCAATTTTGGAACCGGTAATGTACTTGATTCTGTTTCCCTTAAAAGACAACCGGAAGACAACAGAAAACCTTTTTTCTATCAAACTCTTGGAATTTTATTCAAGGAATTATACAACCAAATATTACATAAAAATTTGTAATACAACCCAAAATATTTTGGAATTTATTCTATAAGAAGGTTAATGCCAAATAAGACGGTTTAAGATTATAGTTTCGGCAGAGCGATAATTAATTTATCATACATAGATTTTTAGACTAAATCTTACTTAGCTTTAAGCTATCAGATGGTTGCGAATACCCAAGGAATGTGAACAAAGGCGAAAAAGCCTTTCAGCGACTTTTTTAATTGGTTTGCACTGAAACAAATTGATGGTACTTTGTCTTATCTTATCAATATTATATCAATAATACACAAACAGATAAATGCAAACGTACCGACATCGGGGGCATCGTTAATTACGTTCTGGATTTTTGCCTTTTATGGATATGGATGGTTACAAGAGGCATGCAGATTTGAAAATGGTTTTCCAATGCATGTTAGTGTATAAAGAGCGAAATGGAGGAGAGCGTAAAGAGCGCATACACTGCAATGAAGCTTTGTTTATTTACATATACACGCACCAACACACACACACACGTATACATTTGTACTTATGCATGTATTTATTTTTCTTTCTATTTGCAGTTGTAGCGCCAACAACAACAAAGAACAAGGAGAAAAAGAAGAAGAAGCAGCTGCTGCGGCAGAACTGACAAAGAGAGAGAGAGAGAGAGAGAAAGAGAAAGAGAACAGCAGCAACATCGACGATAGCAGCGTCGTCGTTCCACAGACAGACAGTCTGTCTCCAGCGTCGCAGCGGCAGCAACAGAAGAAGAAGCAGCGACAGCAATTTGTTTTCCAATCAAACAGCTGAGCGCGAGCGAGCGAGAGGGCAACAGTGACGCGCAAGGGTCAAACAACAGCGGACGGGGCCGCAACCGCTGCTCCAAACGCTTGGGAGCCTTTCGAGCCCAGATAAGAAGCTCCTGGTGAGGAAGAGCAATTCAAAAATGTCAGCGGACTCGCCGCGCCGTAATATGATCGGTGGTGGTGGTGGTCAGCGTGGAATGGCCGTACCGGCCATTGTGCCACCGCAGACAGTTAGTGATCGCTCCATATTGGACTCGGCCATCGGTTTCATTAATGATGTGACGCTTGTGCACCAACCGGTGACCGATCCTAAGGATACCATCACCTGGGCCCGCTTCGAAACCTGTGCCGATGTCAGTGATCCACGTTTTGGTGATGACTGGGAGTTGGAGGGGAACGCAGCACCGCCGCTACTTCTCATTTTGGGCTATGGCCTCGGAGTCCAGGTGTGGGCCATACCCGCCAATGGTGAGGCTGTCGAGGTGTTATCCTGGCGCCATGGCGTCGTTACTGCCCTGCGTGTCCTACCCACACCAGCTTCTGCAGCGGCACTTAACGATAATGGGCGTGCCGATGAACCTGTCGACGCATTTGCTGAAAAGCGTCCACTAGTGGCGCTAGTCGATGGCGGCAGTGCAGCTGCTAGCGGTGTTTTGGCCGGTGGTGTTGGCGGAGGATCTGGTGCAGTCGGCAGCAGTGGAGCAACGGGGCCCCAATTTAGCGCAGTGAACTTTGTGTCCCTGAAAACGGGTGCACAGGTAAAGACGATCAAGTTCAAGAATCCGGTGCTCGACATATTGGCCAATCGCACAGCGGTGGCCATCACATTTCACGAGCGTATTGCCGTCTTCGATGCGCGTACACTTGAGGATCGTCTGACGGTTACCACCTGCTATCCAAGTCCAGGGTAAGTAGAAGTCTCTACGATTTAAGAGCATTCAACTTTAAAACGAAAACGGCTTAGTTGCCTTCATTAATGCCACATTAAGAAACCAGCTGAACCGTGAAAAACGAATTACCTTTACCGCTCAAAATAGATAATGTGATACAATAATATCAAATCTTTCCTCTATCTGAGAGTTAATTTGAGTAGAGTCGAGGTCGTTACCTTTTCAGGACAGTCTTTTGATGCTTTGGGAAGAAGTATTAGTGGCTAAATCTGTCCTATAAACTACTCTTGAGGAAAGGAACATTATATGTAAACTGTATGACGTAGAAATAATCCGCAAGGTATTCTACTTATTACAGGCGGTAATTGCGTAAACTAACCATTTTTTCGAATCCAGTTGATGGTAGCTTTTTCGGAAACCTTTTCAGGTTCCTTGTTTGACGCTTTGCAAAGTAATGCTGGCTGCTAACAGTGTTATTTAAGCCGTTCCTATTCTTTCTTAAGACGAAAAGAGCTCTTAATAGCAAGAAACAGTCCTCAATCCCCCAATCTACTAATTACACACGTCTAGTCTTCATGGTTAATTATTTAAACCACCAATTAGTTCGTATTCAATGGTCGGTTTTGGACGGTTAACAACTATCTAGTTATCTCGTATGTTGATTAATTGATTGTTCATCTCGCTCAATTGCAGCATTAATCCTAACCCAATAGCGTTGGGTCCACGCTGGCTGGCTTATGCGGAACACAAACTGTTGCACTCAAAGCGCAGTGGTGGTGGCTGCGATGGCGAGGGCGTACCCAGCTACACAGCCACCGTGCTCAATGCGGCTAAATCTCTTGGCAAGGGTCTGCGTGAGTTGGGAGAACAGGTAGCCGCTGGTCTGACTGGTGCTAGTGCCGGCAGCGGCAACAGTTCAAAAAGTAGCAGCTTCGATTCTCCCAGCGGGGCCGGGGTAGATGCCAAACAGTCCGGTGTGGTGACTATAATTGATGTCAAGGTAAGTATTGGAGATAAACACACCGCTAAAGCAGTCGATCAATGTTAAGTATTTGCAGCACCCCATTAAGGAATACAGCCCGACGACAGGCACACCATCGACCGCGCATGCCGGTGGCGTCGGCGACCCCATTGTGGCGCACTTTATCGCACACAGTGAGGCCTTGGTGGCCATGGAGTTTGACAGCTCGGGCATGCTGCTGCTAACCGCAGATCGTCGGGGTCACGACTTTCATGTCTTTCGCATTCAACCGCACCCGGTGGGCGCCAGCCTAGCAGCCGTACATCATTTGTATGTGCTGCATCGCGGCGACACTAGCGCCAAGGTGCAGCACATTGCCTTCTCGCTGGACTCGCGTTGGGCGGCGGTCTCCACGCTGCGAGGTACCACGCACGTCTTCCCGATCACGCCCTACGGCGGTGCCATGGGCGTGCGCACGCACAGCTCGCTCCATGTAGTGAACAAGCTGTCACGTTTCCATCGTTCCGCCGGCCTCGGCGCCGATGGACGATCCAGTTCGCCCATCTCGCACTCGGAGAGCACAACATTCGTGCAATCGCTGCAGCCGTACCACAATCCAACGCTGCCGCCATTCCCGCGGCCGTCTGTGGTGCAGCCGTTAGCGCAACTGCGTCAACCCTTTGTCCTCGGCACACCGCCCGGCTCGACAGCGCTGGGTGGTGGTGCATCCAGTGGCTCAGGCGGCGGATCTGGAGGCGGCTCTCAACGCCAGCGACTTTCTTCACTATCTGATGATAGCGGCAAGCCACTCAGCGTTTGCGCCATTTTTGCGAAGTCACGCTCATGGCTTCTCGACCCGCCGACGGCAACGCGCGAGGCGCCCCATCGCATGCAGCGCAAGGCTGTCGACTCGCTCTTTGTCATGGCCGGCCATGGCGCGCTTATACAGTACGACCTGGACACGAAATTAGCCTCAAGTGAGTGTCATAAACCTTTCATTTAAAATTATTTGTAAAACGCCTCATTACACAGATGTTGCCAAAGAGAAGATTTGTGATGACACGCCCATTGAGCTTGAGGTGGAGGCCAAGGCTCAGTGGAACCTTGGTAGACGCAAGGATGGATCTCAAGAAATCATACCACCGCTCGCGCTGGACAATTGGCTTATCAAGGATCGGTACGCAAGCCTGCTAATGGACAGTGGACATCATTTTGATGAGCCCGATGAGCGTGCGGAGAGCTGGCTTGCCCAAGTCGAGATAATCACTCACGCCGGTCCGCATCGGCGTCTGTGGATGGGTCCGCAGTTTGTGTTCAAGAATTATAACACGCCTAGCGGGTGAGTTTTCGAGACATGCCTTGACAACGTAGTAGATTAATATTCATGAACTTGTTGCAGCTCCAATTTGAATCACGTGGATGCGGAAGCTGTGGAAATTGGTGTAACCAAGACGACCAGCTCATCGATGCCATCGTCAGCCACCTCGTTAACCAGCATCTCAAGTGGACCGGCAGCGGAACGTTCCAGTCCGCTAAATATGCCTCCGAATGCAGGCACAACGTCGACCACCGCTTCACGTGGCGGCGTGCCAGTACTAATTGAATCGGGCTCGTATAGTAAGTGTGACAACTGTTTAATACTCATCCAAAATAGCATATCCGAACCACTTCCTGTCTCGCCTTTCACTTCCAGGCAGCATTGAGCAGAGCCCTAAGCTGATGGATCGCTTTCGCCATGGGCATTTGGACTCGGACTATGGCCCAGGCGATACGCGCCTGAAAGAGGATTTAGCTGATGCTATGCGTGAGGCACCACCGACCGCCCGCCGTGAACCAGGTAAGTGGGCATATATCTTTACACTAAACTAATTGTGTTGACTCGCTGTAATATACAGACTGCTATCTGTTGACTGGAATTTCGCAAAAAAAAAAAAGGAACGATTATATTGCTTAAAACGGAAAACAGCTGATCGGGGTCAGTTAGTTGTTTCAGACTTTCACGTCTAACGGTTAGCCGCTAACTGTGACCTGTTAAACATCAACAGTCATATCTTATTGACTATTCCAAATTATTGTTAACAGTATTAGGCCGGCCTGTAGTAATCTATAAAAAGTTTGCGTTTAACGAAAACTAAACTGGTGACAGTTCATATTTAATAACAGTTGTAGCTTAACCGTTAATGTTAGGACTTTAACAGTCATGCTTTCATGACAAATTCGACCTATCTGTTGACAATGTGAGGCCGACTTAAGATAACTTTTGAAAAAGTCTAAGCTTTTAAAAACTTCTAGGCTGTTAACCGCTAACTATTAACAGTTGAAGCTTAGTTGTTAACAGTACCTCTGTAACCACAATTCTAATTATCTGTTAACAAACTAAGAACCGTTAGACGTGAACCATTACTCCTGTCAGCAACTGTTTATTACCAGCAGTTAACTGTTAACCGTTACCGCTTACTGTGTCTGTAACTCTTCTATATCTTCCCGTTTGAGTTCAAACCGTGCGCGGCGTCTCTTTTTTTTAAATTTAAATTTCGCCTAACTTGAACTTTTACCCGTTTACGAACATAACAAAATATATGGTTAATTAAAAATTGAATTGTTGAATAATTGTGAAATATTTGACATCACGAAATTGGCAAGTTGTTGAGTCCCCACCCCCCCAACAGCAGTTGGAATTGTAGACGCAGTGACCCGATCTGTGATCAGCGTGACACTCGACCCTTGGGCGGCACTCGCTTGCATGCCACCACAAAAACCCACCTTATTCTTCACTACGCTTCGCTTCCACAACATATTAACAACAACAACAACTATTACTACTACTTCTGCTGTTTGTCTGTGCGTTTCTGTGAGTGTTTATGTTGTGTGTGCGTGTGTGTGTTTATATTTGTATTCGTATTTGTGTGTGTAGTCCTTTACTTTTAGTTCTTGTAGCGTACATTCTACATCATACTATATTAAAAATTTAAGCAAAGCATTCCCAACAACAAGAAAAATAAAAAGTAAATCTTAAAATATCTTTTAAATATATATTATTACATATATATTTTCTGTATATGATCTAAATTTAAGCTAACAACATTTTTGTCACAGCTCAGAACTCTACAAAAATGAACAAATGTTTCGGACTTCGTTTGTCTACATACTTACTTAGCACACAAACAAACAAACAAATAAACACACACAACCAACCAACCAACCAAGCAACCACAGTTACCTAAAAATTGGCTTTCAAACGCTTTACTCAATGATCCAAAAATCCTCTGACTCTGATAATAACGGGCAATCCAAAGATCCAAATGTGGTCCCCAATAATCCTCACCTCTCATCAACATACATACATATATGCATACATCTATCGTCTATTCATCTATCCATACTGCTCTAAAGATCGCATGAATGTCTCCTAGATCAATAAACTTTTGCTTCTTTTTCAGCAAGTATAACCAATAACAAGATCTGTATTCTGAATATTTTCCATATGTAGTTCATCACCTCAGGCTGTCCATTAATCACATTGCATTTCATATCCATATATCCCTGCTCTAAGACCACACTTCTCTTTTTGCTTGCAACAATAATTCCAATCCTGACTCTTTTATGGGCACTTCCCGTTATTTCTACTTCTGAAATTTTAAAATGACTCTAGGAGTTATTGTTGTTGCTGCTCTTCCCAATGCACAACAATTCATGGTGTGAGAGTGAGAAAGCGAACGATTGCGAGAGAGAGAGAGAGAGAGAGCGTGAGAAAAAAGGGATGAACGTAGTTAACAGCTGAGGCGAAAGAGAGAGAGAAAAAGACAGAGAGAGAGAGAGAGAGAGCACATACATGAGTTTTAAAAAAAGCCAAAGCCATATAATTTTCTTTAAAGCCAATTGAAATTGTCAAATAAGAAAAAATTAAACAAACTACTAAATTCAAAATTCATTTCAAATTAAAAGACAAATTGCATTTGCAATGGCGCCCATTCTTATAATTTCTTTTATGTTTCTTCTTGCTTTTTGATTTCGTTTTGACATGTATATTCAAATAATTAATATAAAATAGCGCCATTCTTTTGCTAATTATCATCTAAAATTTCGTAGCATTACTGGCTAGTCAAAACACCAAAAACACCACTTGCTCAACAAAATTTAAAAACAACCATAAAAGAAGACTTCGTTAGCGTTCTATATTTTTTTTTTAAGTTGCAACCCATTGCGTTTGAAAAAGTTGTTTCTAATAGCATTTATGATTTGTTTTTGTTATTAATAAATAAATAAAAAATGTTAATATTGCGTGTTTTTAGCGCTCGTTTTGCACTGCTTTATCGACAACTGCCAATTTCAAATAGTCATATTTTCAATTTTAAAGAAATACAAATGAATTCAACATTATTCGCTCTAGTTTCAATTTTGAAGACGCACTTTTCAAATTAAAAGCAATTCAATTTTCGAGTTATTACAAACGAAAAAAAACCCCGCCTTTGGCTTTTTGTTTATTCCTGTATGAAATGCGCTTTTCTCATAAAATTTTTTTTCTCTTCTTCTTCTCTGTCTCCCCCTCGCGTTGTCAACAACAACCACAACCACAACAACAACAAATGCAACCGTAGGCGCGCATCTGTTGCTTCCAAATGCGGGAAATACCGACGCGACACTGGGAACTAACAAGCAAGCAGCCAGCGATAATGCCTGTTACTACGATGCCCTTGCCGAGCATGATGAAGACGAGCCAGTGGAGGGCCACGGTGGAGCCGCTCTTGTCGACGACCATGATGATGAAATCAAGCGCTTGCCAATGACAACGAATCGCTCACAATTGCCAGCAACCAGCTCCATGGCCATGGCCGCCCTAGCCTCGGCCCTGCCCAATATTTGCTCCTATGATCAGAGTCAGGGCCATGGTCAGGGAGGTCAGGGAAAGTGTCAGCCAGCAGCGGCTAAAATTGAAAAAATTGTGAATCCACTGGGCACAGTTACGAATGTGAACTCCGGTCGGAGTGCAGAGCTGCAGACAGACATGTTGGACGAGGTTGTGGGCCAATTGGCGGCCGAGGATTGTGTCATACACGAGAATTGTGATGAGGCGCTGTTCCGACCCGTTGTCGCCATCTTTTGTGATGATTTGCTCGAGCAGCGCAAGCACGAAAAGGAACTGCCCAAGCAGCAGTCACAGGAACAGCAAGGACAGCACCACCTCGATACCAATACGCCGCCTGTGGTGCTGGTTAACAAACTGATTGTGCCCGTCATAGCGAAAGAGGTGGACGAGGTGCTCACGCAAAAGGAGAAACAAAAGTCGCACCAGCGCGAGGGAAAGCTAAAGTCCCAGGCCGCGGCGGCCGCGGCTGCGGCGCAACAAGAGGATGCGGCCCATGCGCAAAAGTTTGCCGAACTATCGCATCTAAACAAGCCGCAAAAATCGTTGCTTGAAAATACGACAAAAGCTGCCACAACGCCACAACCGCAAAAGGCCAAACAATTGGCCAAGAGCTCGTTACCTTCCCGGAACATGAGCTCAGCTTCAGCCACAACTAGCGAGGATGACCGCGAGGCTACCGAGGATGAGCTGCAAACCTCGATAATGTCGAGCACAAGCACGCGGGCGACCAACAGCAAGTCATCGAAAAAATCGAAGGCGGCGAAGCAGAAGGCCAAAGTTGGAATAAGCGAAAGCCTGGTCCTGAAACAGTCGGAGGCGGCTGCAGAGCTACAGGGCGAGAAGAGAAGCAATAACAAAGACAAATCTGCAGCTGCGGATGTAAAAAACGAAGCGGCTAAGCCGGCCCAGTCGGAACAGGAAAAGGAGCAGGACCATGAAGAGGCGGATGATGATCATGCAGACAGCCTACTGGCTAATGCCACCAGCATTGCGGCTGTTATGGTGAACAGTGCCAGTGCCCAGGGATTGAGTTTGCATGTTGAGACTTCGGCCGGGGACCCAATTGTAGAATTGGAGACCGAAGGGGTGTCCGGTGAAATGGAAACAGAAATGCCGGCCAAAACCACGAAAATTAGAACGCAGCCAGACAGCAATACAAAGCAGATGAAGGAGGAAAAGACCAAAAGGTTAAAGTCTAAGGACGATGAGAAGCCCAAAGTAGAGGAAAATCCTAAAGAAGAAGAGGAGCTGCCCAAAGAAGAGGGTCCTAAAGAAAAACTCAAGCTCAACGAGGAAATACAAATACAAGCAAAGTCGACAAAAGGAGATGGTGAGGAAGTGGTGAGAAAACCAGAGGTAAAGCCAAAGACCACAACGCCAAGTGAGAGTGAAGAGAGACCGCCAGAAAGCAAGCCAGCGGCGAGTGTGCCGAAGAACCTGCCGAAAAGCGATCCAAAAAAAGAGCCGAAAAGTGCTTTTGAAGAAGCGACACCCACGCACAAAAGCTACACGGTGAAGGTGATCGAAATGAAGAACGAGAAAGCGGAGAATGATAAAGAGCAGAAGTTAGAGGCGAAACCGATACGTAAACAGGAGCTGGAGCAGCAGGCGATTAGTGGCAAGAAAGCCAACAAGACACCGCCGACAACGACATCGGTGGCCCTACCATCGTTTCGCGAACTGTCCAGTCCATGGCGTAGTCTGTCCACTGCCGAACCACTTGATCAGAGCTCCTCCTCCAATAACAGCAATAAAGACCGAAGCTCAGAGCATATGACCGCGACTTCTAGCACCGATTTTCCCAGTCTAGCTGCTTCGCCTGGCCGGAAAGCCACAAAGACTACCACTCAACCATCAGAATCGAGGCGCAGCACAACAACATTGTCGACGGCTTCAGCCGCAGCAGCGGCAGCAGCCACCACCAATTTTGATGATTTTTTAAGTGCACTCAAACCACTGGAAGCTTTGCCTCCGCTGCCAGCGCTCGAGCCACTTGAGCCGCTCGAAATGCTGCCAAAAAGTGTGATCGCGTCCAGTGAGTCGTCCTCGATGAGTCTAATTAACTTTGAGAGTCCGTTGCAGGAGGAGGCGACAGAGACGCCGCGTACCCTGCCGGCCGTACTCGCTGATCAGAACTTAATTCTCGCCCTCTGCGGCTCCATACACTATGAGAACGAATATGCTCAGTTAACGCAGTCAGTGACCGAAACCGAGGCGGAGACGAAGGTGGAGGAGCCACTGAGATCAGCAACAAAAAAGTACACGGCCGCAACAAACTCAAACAACTCCTCCGGCTCCGAGGAGATAATTGTTATGGAGGAGCCGAAGAAGCTGAACAAAAAGCACAAACGCGCCAAGCAACGAGAGCAGCAGCAGCAGCAGCAACAACAACAGGCTGCACTGCCACCACCACCACCCGATGATGAGGAACTGCGTCCGCTGATTAGCATGTGCGACTCCCAACTGGACCTGGACATGATGGGATCACCAGTCGGGGCCGAAGCAGTCGATGACGAAGAGGGCACGGATTTGCTGCAATTTGCCAGCAGCGCCGATGCCTGCTCTCTGGCCCAATCCTCCACGACAACAGACAGCGAAGGACCCGTGCCGGCAACCACCTCCGATGACAATGCCATATACACGACAATGGCCAATCTATGCACACCGCACAAGCTCAAGACGAAGAAGCTGGAGCATAAGATCAATCTAATAGCGGCTATTGAGGCGGCCACCTCCTCCTCCACATCCTCGGCCGAGGAGAGCAGCGTGGAGACAACCGCCGCTGTCAACGCATTGGCTTCTGAATCGGGAATCGATATGTTGCTGGGCACAAGCAGCACAACAGCCTCGACGAGTGGTGCGACAGCTGCAGCCGCCTTATTGGCAACGACGCTGCCGCTCTCCACCAGCCTGACTGCTGGCGGGGGAGCAACTACGTCCAGTGGAGTGGGCGTGGGTGTGGGCGGCAGTCAGCCGAGTGCGACGAAGAAGAAGACTAAACGCCGCAAGAGATAAGAATTAGCAATTTGTTTGTTGTGCGTTTTCAGTCTCGTTGTTCTCTGGCATTTATATGCGGGCCACAATGGCGCAGAGAGCCGTCCATCAGGGCACGGAACCGGCAACGATGGCGGCGCCATCAGGGCCAAGTAATGATGACGACAACGACGACGACAGCCAAAAAGCAGTGAGGATGACGCGGCAACAAACAACACAGCAATGGAATGAACAGCAATGAGATGATGAAGATTTCTTTGATTTTTAGATCACGTTCTACCCCATACTCTTCAAATAGGACCACGATTCACCTTACCCAACAACTAGCAGCTATACGTTTGCACTTTTCTAAAGGCCAGGGCAAGAAATTGCTATGAAAAATCTAAGTATACAAAATTATAAAAAAAACAATCAGTTATTTGAAATAGGTGTGAAAAGGCTGATGCTAAATCAGTAAGTGCGCGCTCGATATGATAGATGTACAAAAAAAAAAAAAAATACTATCGGACTTTGGTTAACTTCCAGCAAATCTTTATTATCATTTTTCTTATAAATTGTATTTTATACATAGGTTTTTTTTTAAACATACATTTGCTACTTAGGAATGAGATTTGAAAGTTTACTTAGAACTAACAATGAAACAATCATTCAAGATTTGATTGAATAGCTCGATATCTTCAACTTTGTAGAAGAACCTAATGAATGATCGAGATTTTCTTTTCTTTGCTTCAACTAGTATAGGATTAGATCTGATTTCGAAATTGATGTGGCGGAATGCCCACAAATCGTCTTACTCTCTCGAAATCAATTGAAGGTCAAATGTCTTTCCACCATCGGAAAATGTTGGGTATGTCCAGACTGGCAATTGATTTACACAAAAATTTGTGAAATTTCACAAATGTTTCGTCAATTAAAACCATTAAGAATTCGATACTAATTTATAGTTTCTAGCTACAAAACAAAAACCTCTTTGGAGGTTTATATTCAAAGAGTACTTGTAAAATGCGACAAGTTTGTGTGCAAATGGTTTGCACGCCTGACCATAACTTAAGCCAAATCTCTAACGAAACCAGACCTGTTATATATATACAATATATATTTATACTTTTTTTTTAATTCGCATAAACCTGCTTGTCTTCTTGATTTTCTTAAATTAGAGCTGTTTTTTTTCTTCTGATTTTTCCATACAATACTGGCAATATTTAAACAAACAAGACTATGCGATCAAAATTGGAAACGAGGTCAAAAGTGTTGCAATATTTTTTTCATTTTAAACACATATATTATTTATTTTTGGATCATATCGAGCGTGTGCGCATACAGCTATATGCATACATACATATATAGGCCCTTTATACATACAGACATAGATATGTACATCATAAGCATATTAACGACAACAGCAAAAGCAACAACAGTTTCTTAGCGTTTAAGTAGTAACAAAGTTCAAGTTACAGCCAACACCAACAGACAGACGGACGGACGGACGGACGGACAGACAGACCAGACCCACAAATATATGAACACTGCAGCGGACACTCACACTAATTATGTAGCCTAATTTTTATTGCGTGCAAAACATTTAAACAACAAATACAACAAAAACAAAAAAAACAACAAAACCCCACAAAACCTTACAAAAAAATGTGATTATCGACAGCAGCATAGACATAGTATGTTGCAATTAAAAAAAAAAACAAAAAACGCTAACAATTTTTAAGTGCAAAGTTATATACATAAAAGAAATTAGCTTTAGAATTAACTACAACTATAAATATATATATACATATATATATATAAAAAAAAAAAAAACAAAAAACAACATAAATTATATAATAATTGGTCGCTATTTGTTGTACATTGTACATAAAACCCAAACAAAAGAACAACAATTTTTGTATCCCCCTCTCCATCCAAAACGTATGCTCAGCCTTGGTACGATTTTTTCACACACACACACACACACACTTACACACTCATGTATGTGCCAGCTCCACCATTAACCATTTGAAAGAAACAAGGATTGCACAGCTGGGAGCCATTGAAAAATATATATTGATTGATTGTGTAGCGATATATGCTTAGTAAGAATACATTACGTTTTGTCAGGAACTGAGAAAAGACTACACGTCTTGATGATTTGCCAGATGTATTGTACTCTGGAATTGAACATTTAATATTTCACTTTTCTTTTGTATTGGTCCCGAAATAATCGTACGAACCAATCGTATCGTAACGTACAGAACCAGAAATATACTTTCTTCTTATTATCTTTACGAACCAATCGTAGTCTTTTCCTATTGATGAACATTAAACATTGAAAAATATATATTGATTGATTGTGTAGCGATATATGCTTAGTAAGAATACATTACGTTTGGTCAGGAACTGAAAAGACTACACGTCTTGATGATTTGCCAGATGTATTGTACTCTGGAATTTAACATTTAATATTTCACTTTTCTTTTGTATTGGTCCCGAAATAATCGTACGAACCAATCGTATCGTAACGTACAGAACCAGAAATATACTTTCTTCTTATTATCTTTACGAACCAATCGTATTCTTTTCCTATTGATGAACATTTGTTTCTGATTGTCCGGAATGTGTTCTTGTTCTGAAAACAAGGGAGATATCGTTCTAGATAGTGTATATATATTCAAATGGTTCCAATTGCATTGCTTATCCCGGGAATGTGTGTGCGGCTGGTTCTACTCTAGTACTCGGCAATTTCATGACTTTTTATGCAGCTATCAACTCTATCTACCAACTATGACACTGTCTAACGCCACAATACAATAATAATAATAATAATACTAATAATAGTAGTAAATCAACACCAACAACAGCAATAGATATTTGTTTTAGGTTCTCGTTAAGTTTCGTTAGTTTTTACTTGTATTGCCAGATTATATATATATGACTGATCAATAGATCGATCCAGCAATCGCCTCGTTTAGGACTCGTTATACTACAGACATACTGTAATACTGTTCTCAATTTTTCTGTTTGAAATCCTTTCTGTTTGTTTCTGTGTTAACTTATTGCAACAAATTTAAAATAGAAGAGGAAACACCAATTTATAAAAAAAACGTAGATATAAAATATATACATTTGTGTCCCCATCCCCACGCCCCTCTTTTTTTTCTGTTTGTTTATTTTGTTATTGTGCTTTTTTGGCAAAAACGAAGAAGAAGAATTTGTAATATCTGTATAAGCTTTCGGCATTGTGTAAAAATTTTGTATCGTTTTCTGTACATACATACATAAATATATAACTTGCAGTATTTATGATTTTTAAATGAGGAAAGAAAAACACACAACAACAAAAAGAAGAAAGAATTAATTTAATTATATATAAACATATGTACAATTAAATAAATGCAATTTTAGTTAAAACTACCATAAAAAGCATGGTTTCTTTTTGATTGAATGGAGACACCCAAAACATATTCCCATGGGGCAAGACGGAATCCGAACCCTGGGTAGCTCATAAAATGAAATACAACCGTCTAGTCTCAACTCATTTCATATGGGCATAACTTATCCGAATAATGCCAGATCTGAGATGAAGGGGAAGCATGCTCCCAGCACTACATATATGTACACTACTTATCATTAAAAACCCATCGTATAGATGGTACTACCAGCTGGTGGAGTTAAATTATTACTATAAGTTAGATTATTAACAATGTTTTTTTGCTTTTCTTGTTGTTGTCTTGCTTACAGCGAACTTCTTTGGCAGCGACCTGCTCGATGGTGTTGCCACACACAACAACAACAACAATGCCAATGCCAATACCACTGCCAGCAGTGTCAAAGGTAATCGAGCCCGAAGCAACCCCATCAAGGTCAATGCCAAATCGAGTGCCGCTGGCGATGCAGCTGCGGATGCCGCCATTCCACAGCCTTCAGAGATGCAACAGGAGCAGGAGGGAGATGAGGAGCAGGAAAAGCAACAGCAGCAGCAGCAGGAAGAGGAACGGATGAGCATCACACCACCGACAACTTCATCGTCCTCCGGCCTGGAGCCTAACAACAAGCTGCCACCGCCAACAGCAGCAGCAGCAGCAACAGCAGCCGTTGGCATAGACGGCGAACTGGCAACAGTGGTGAACATCGATGTCTTCGACGACCTCAGCATGAGCAGCATCAGCACCAATAGTCGGCTTTCGCTGGAGGGTCCGCCCTCGCAATCGTCGCCACCGCTCAGTCTCACCAATGGCCTGATGGACACGAATCTAATGCATTTCAGTGAGAACGCGGGCGTTGGCGTTGTCACCATGGATGGTGGGGGGGCGGATGCAACGGAGAATTTGTGAGAATTGTTCTTCAAGCCGTCGTCACGTCTCAAGCAGCGGGCAACGGTGCTGGGTGAACATTTCTATTTGCGTAGGATCTATGCGAATCTATTTCATAGCGCGAACTCCCATAAAAGTTCCACAGCAACATCAACAGCAGCAGCAGCAGCAGCACCAACATCAACAGCAACAACAACAGCAGCAGCAGCAGCAACAACATCATCAACAGCAGCAGCAGCAGCAGCAGCTGCGAAAACGGCGACAGCAGCAACAACTTCATTGCAGTAGTCGCTGCAACAACAACAACAACAACAACAGAAACTTTAATATAATTAACAATTTATTGTGGTGCTTGTCTAAGTTTTTTGTTGTCGATTTCAACATTTTTGGTTTTATTCTTCTTCTTACAGCTACATTTGATCGTTTTGGGGAGAAAGACAGACAACTGGTTTAACCGACTTTTCAGCTGAAAAAAAAAAACAAACAAACAAACAGAAAACAGAAATTAATTTTGTGCTCGGTTCCAATTAATAGTTTTTACACATTTTAGTTCTTCCTCTTTCTCTTTTAACGAAACGAAAACAAACTGCAAAGCAAAACCCTTCTAGGTACATGCAATAAGCGAACATATTTTAAAAATATATACACACACACATATATATATATATATACACACATATATATACATGTATCAAATCAGACCTCAGCTGAATGCCGTGATATTTAAAATACAATTTAAAACAACAACAACAAACAAATAATATATCTGCTATATCTACAAAAAAGATCGATATTCGCATAACTGCATACATAAGCTATATACATTTATATACACACTCACATTCACCCACACACACACACACACACACACACACACACACACACACACACACACACATGCATGCACAACCCATAACTACATAGTGTATATGTATATATCGATATTTTTGAAACAAGTTTTAAACTATCGTTGTTTTATGCGACATCGTATTTTTGTTCTCTTCCGTAACTTTAGTAAATGGAAAATGAAAGTAAAGCAAAGGGAGTTATCTGTTAGTCTAGAGAAATGTTTTTATTTTTATTTTTTTTCCGTAATATACCTTTTCCTCTTTATATTAAGAACATTTAAAATTTTTGTACCTAAACACTCTTTACAAAATGCAAAAAAAATATAATAAACATTAAAAAGCAAAAAAAAAAAAAAAACAAAATAGTGAGAAAACATCTTAAACGTTTACCAGCTTCGAGTATATTAGAACCCACATGAACCTATTCCATAAAAGTTTCCAGCGTTTCAATGGGCAACAACTGCAGAACCCAGTTCGTCGATTCCATTCCAAAAACATATTCTATGCACCACACTCTCATTATCTCGCCAGATATATACACTGGTCTCGACCGACAATTTCTGCCACATATCCATTTACAAGAATTCAATATTTTTTTTAAACACACGTACACTCAGCGAAATTATTTAATTAAAGGCAGAATGTATCTTCAAAATTCTTCAGCTATATGGATATGAAGTGCAATGTCATAGTTTGAAGCATTCTATATCTGCCCTACAATAATATTCCAGTTTCAAAATTGTTCAAATTCTGTAAACATATCAGTTATTGCCATTCAGGCATGAATTTGTTTCAATTATGATTGCAATTTTGAAGTTATCATGAAATAGAATAATTGTCCAACTCAGGACAGATATTAAAATAGAATAAAGATTAAAAACAAAATCTTAAGCTATAAACGGTTTGAATTTGATGATTTCATCCAAATGGATTACAAACTCTACCAATATGTACAGGTACTACCTGAACTCAAGGAATAAGGGTTTTCTTTCTCTCATGCATAATTTCGAAAACATTTCTGGCTTTCTTCAAAACAATTCGATAACTGATTTAATGGCAACACTCCACTTTGCCGATGAATGTGGTTATACTGATCTAGGTTGTTTACAAAATTAATTCCCTTTTAGAAGATTTCTAAACATTATGTATACTATTTGTGGGAGATTTTCTAATCTTCAACGTTTGACAACTCCTACTTTCCGGAAACTTCAGGACTAGAGACACCATTTTAAAAAGTAAAGGCTTTAAAATATATTACTACTTAGGAGTTAGTCTAGTCGACAAAGAATGTTCAAATGCAGTCAAAAAGTTTGTTAGCAGTTCGGAATATATCCCCATATGTTATATACCATACTAATATTTTAATCTGTGTACGCTTACATCTGCAGAACAAGCCAATAAATGGTGCTATACAAGTATATTGCTTTATTCAGATAATATGGAATACTTTTAAGCAAAGTTCAAACTTTCCTAGTCCTAGTTCCATTTCCACTTTTTTTTCAAACCTAATATTTGTTTGATTTCATGATGTTTAGAACTTTCTACCTATGTCTAGAGCAATAGGCTTAGAGGGTGTTATAAAACGTGCTCGTAGGATGGATGGATGCTTCTTTATAGTTTTCAATACACTGGCCTTTAGTAATACATTTCGCTGAGTCGACGACTATATATGTATGTATACAAAAACTAATAAAATACTATAATAAATTGGCCATTAAGATGAAGATGAAGAACGAAATAAGATCGAGTCAAGTTCAGGATCAGAATCAGAATCAGAATCAGATAAACATAATAACGTAACCAGGGAGAACTCATATGCATATACACACATGCAAGCATATATTTTTGTACATATTACGTATTGCAATATGCTATTTTTAGAGACAGCATATACATACTATATATATATATATACTATATAGTATATGGAGATAATTATAAAACACACACACACAAACAAAGAAACTAAATAGCAATAGCAAGTGTTGGTTGCCCCTTTTGAAATCCCATAATATAGAGTGACAGATCGAAACCGAAACTTTCATATAAATATACATATATATACATATATATTTTAATTAATTGTTTTTTTTTTAGACTAATATTAGCTTTTGACGACTGCTGGACAGGTTGATGCAAAAAAAAATATTTTTGGAAAAGTGCAAATTGGATATGCAAAGGCATACATTTACTTTTATATCGCTTAACTATACAGTGAACTTTTTATACAGGCGTCTGCTATTTGACCGACCCCCGACCCCCGATCCCCGACCGACGAGGTCCCCATGCATATACATACGAGTACATACTACATATATTTCAAATATAATTATAGATTAGCTAAAGCTAAGTCGTTGGTTCCCAGTTGTAGCACCGACTCTTTGGATGTGAGCTTGCGTTTAGGCATACTTGTAATACTGGAGTGGGAGTACTGGTACGAGAGATGGGCAGCGGGATTTCCAGTCGGGTTCTTGACAAAACACTGACAAAAATCTCTGCATATTTGTGGGGACCCGCCCGCAATATCCTCTCCCAATGCCTAACTACTTGTATAAGTATAATACTATAATGAAATATATATATCTTATAATCAAATATAGTTACATACATATTGGCTTTACTCTTCTAGTTTAATTGCGAGTCTTACTTAAATTGCATTCATTGGAGGTGTCTTTTTTTTTTTGTTTTGTGTCTTTCCCATTGCCTTAGTTAACATAATTCTGATGCGGCAAATTGCTAATTCAGAGAAATATATTGAAAACAAATTACAAACCACACACACACACACATACTACAAGTAAGTAGTGTACTACATGAGTGGATCGTGTATTTTGTATCTATTATTACACTGCACTACATAATGTAATGTAACTTGAGTACTTTAATGTGTCATAAATCGTATGTTACAACAGAAACAGAAATAAAGGATTTTAATAAATAAATACATGAGAAAAAAAACAAACAAAAAACAAATATAACCTGTTTATAATAATTTTGAAATATTATTACATATGTGAACGATTTTATTAATCCTCGAAGCAGAAATCCATTCTTAGATTCGGCCTGAATCCCCTTAATCGTGTACAAAAAGTACTGTTTTCTATTTATTAATTGTGGAACATCATGCTTCAGTGGTTCTGTGTTTTGGGAACCAAAGGAGATTAGACTCTTACGAGGCACAAAAGCGCTTTCGAAATTGTGTCAAAAGCATCATCAGCAACGATTTTTTCAATCCTCCAGTCCGAAAACTGCATTCCTCAAATGGCCGTCAGTACCTTCTTCGATGTGGCCTGAATCTGCTCAATCGTGTCGAAAAACGTTTCCGCTGAGTGCGGTTTTCAATTTATGAAATATATGCGAATACGGTGGCTGTGGAACCGCATGCTTCAGTGGTTCAGAGATATAACTTTTACTTTGCATTGTCTAGATCCATTATGTCTTTGACATAGCCTGTTTATCGAAAATCTTCTACAAATTTGATGACAAGTGTTTGGTAATAAACATATACTTGTACTTGTAATACGTCTTTGCAATATACATTCATTAAAATAAAACACGTGCGTTACACGATAACGAGAGCTTCCTAAACAGTAACCAGCAGACATATTATTTTCATTTGGAAATTGTTTTCAATTCGAAATGAGAAAACATATATGTGTGTATTGCATGTACACTGAGAGAACACGCGTTAGAAGTGAAACTTAATGCTTGAATTGGATTGATTTAATTTGAGTTCATTTTTTTTTTATTGAGGAGAGGAGCCTTTATAATGGCTAATGTGCATTTGGTTTGAAAAGAATGATTAGAAAATGGTTATCTAGCTAAAAAGCGCTAGAAAATGGCTTTGAAATTCTGTAAAATTAGCTGGAAAGCTCGCTAGAAAATGGCTAGAAAAGCAGTAGCTAGAGAACCAGTAGAAAATCCGCTAAAAGTCCGCCAAAAAATGTCTAGGAACTCCACTAATAATAGATAGAAAGATCGCTAGTAACTATAAATACCGCTACAAAATAGATTGAAAGCCTGCCATGCTTAAAAGCAACTGAAAGAAGATTTTATATTTTTTATACCCTATACATGAAATGTGCAAAGGTATCGTATTGAAATGTCAAATTTTCGTAACATAATGTCACTAAAAATAGCTAGAAAATGGCTCGAAAAATAATTATAAATAGCTGCAGAACAAGTAGAAAATCCGCTTCAAATCTGCCAAAAAATGTCTAGGAACTCCACTAAAAATATATAAAAATATCGCCAGCAAATGGCTAGAAACATCGTTTTAAATAACTATAAAATCCGCCATGTATGTAAAAACAAGTGACAGATAAACAGAAGATTTTATCTTTCTCATACCCTTTACAAGAAATGGGCAAGGGTATACTAATATCATATTGAAGTAATGTTACATTTCCCAAACATTTTCGAAAATTGTAGTGGCTTTGAGGCATTAAATTGATATTAATTGATATTGCTATGTTTTTCTTTCTGTGCATCCATAAATTAATATCATAGCCAAGCGTCCCCCAGTGCCGAAGTCTATAATTCGATAATAGAGCGTGCAAAGTGCATGAAACTGCGGGCACTCGGCACGACATCGGATCATTACGCAACGCTATACTAGTATAGTATAGAGTCTAAGGGATGGGTGCTCCCCCTCGAACTCCCCCACCCGCAACCCCTCCCCCACCTCGCAGACGATTTAACAACTAATATTTGACAATAACCATTTAAGATAGATCGTGCGTCGGAAAGTGTGTGCCCAACAAAATGACTCTACAGTTGATTCACAACAGTGCTGGCAACGAGATGTTCTTCTCCATATACCAGACGCTGCTTGTGTTCTCGGGTGCCGGCAGTGCTCTTCTAATTTTGGGATATATTTACCTCACCTGGCATTTCGGGTACTGGCGGGAGAGGGGCATTAAGGGGCCAAGGCCGTGGCCATTGCTGGGCAGCTATCCGAATTTGTTGATGCCGCGACAGCACTTGGCAGACGATTTACGAGATATTTACATGTGAGTGCTACTGGTACTGGGCTGTGGTTTTGGGTTCCATCTAAGTCCAATTGCCCAATCGTGCCGCACAGGCAATACCGGGATCGTGAGAGCTATGTGGGCGTATTTATGCTGCGCCAACCCCAGCTGCTGCTTCTGGAGCCGCAACTGGTCCACGAGCTGTTTGGCAGCGCCTTCAAGCATTTCGAGGACAACGAGGTGGCCAGGCTGATCGATGTGCGCAAGGATGCGCTCATCGCCTGCAATCCGTTCGTGCTCAGGGGCGAGGAGTGGCGCGAACAGCGTGCCCTTATCACGCCCATGCTGGGAAGCGCCCGTATTCGCTTGGCCTACAGCATAATGCGACGTGTTTGCGCCGATCTCTGCGACTATATATTGCAGCGCTGCAACGATAATGCCCCACTCGATGGCAAAGATGTGAGTAATCTGTATAGCTGCTGCTTCCATTCAGACCGATATCGTGTACCAAGGGCGTAGGAAGGGGGGTTGGGGGCAGGGAAAAATTTTTTCATCATTATGACGCACTATTTCGCCTTAAAACGGATCTGAGTTGGATTTGTTGATGTTTTTTCATTGATCATATGCAAACGTTTTTTTAAAAGTTTTTTGGCCCCCCCCTTTGGTAAAAGCTGCCTACGCCCTTGTCGTGTACGTATATTGGGGGGAGATTTCCATTTGGGATGAAGATGTGGTAGTCCCCATATTATCAGTACATATAGTTAATGACGAATCGATATATGTAAGTAACTCTCACGTTTTTCTAGAATTTCATAATCGCACGGTATGTTTACTTAGTAATTCAATAGAACATGTTAACGCTTATGCTAAATGAGGTCGAAAATAGATGTAGATTACAACTCTCTGACATTACCGAGTTTTTCGGACCGTTTTCAATTTAAAGAGAAAGGAAAATAAACATGGAAGTGCCTGACTGAGAGGTCTCGCGAAGCAGATCTGTTGAACGACCAAAAACTGAGTCTAACCTCAGCTAATAGATCCTAACTTCCTAGCTTCAACTCGAATTTCTTATCTCTCTAACAGCAATAAATTCGAATAATTATTCTTAGGTTTAGGTTAAATATATGTATATTGGATAACTATTCTATTTATAAAATCTTGTTGAGTTCTCTGGTAAATATGTTTGAGAATATTGAGAGGAATATTTCCTTTTGGTTCTTCCCCTAATTTGGACTTACACTGGCTAAGAAAACTTGTAGCTTTCAAATCACTATCTGTCAGTTCGTCTCAACCTTAGCAGCTATGACTAATAAACTAATAGCCAAAATGGAGTTCTAGAATAGATTTCGATTTGGATTTCATACTTTTTGCATTTTCAATTCCTAGTCTACTGTGTGCTTAGACCATTAATAATGTTGACAAGTCCACATTTATTCTTTCAGCTCGCTCTACGCTTCACCGCCGATAATTTGTGCGATTGTGTGCTGGGCTTGCAGGCTCAAAGCTTCAGTCCGAAGGCGCTACCCGTTTCGCAAAATATACGCCAACTATCTGAGGATAATTTGGCCTTTGTTGCCGCAGCCGCCCTGGGCGGACTCTGTCCACAACTGCTGGAGCATTATCGTCTGAAGATCTTCCCGAATGCCTGCGAGAAGTTCTTCACTAATTTGATTGGCGAGTCAATTCGACTGCGTCGGCTCGTCCATATGGAGAGGAATGACTTTATGAATCAACTGCTGGAGCTGCAGAAACAACATTCCCTAACGGACCAGCAATTGGTCTCACATGCTATGACCTTTTTAATTGACGGCCTAGACACATCGGCAGCGACCATCGCCCATTGCCTGCTTCTGGTGAGTGAGTCGCGATCACGATCTTACGAGTAAGAACTGGATTTCGCGAAATGCAGAAATTAAATGCAATTTATTTTCATTTAAAGAAGTTGTTGTTTGTTTCTACACGTTTATGCGTGGCGCACATTATTTCAAAATATGGTGATATCATGATTTTGTGTTACACACTGAAGAACCCATTTTCCGCCATTGGATGCCAATTTTAAAAGCTAATTATCTTACCTTCAGTTAAATGGTGGCTAGCGACTGTGCGGTAACTGTAATGTCATATAAGAAACTTCTAGAGAGCTGCTGTTCATAACAGTAATAAATAAAATAAACTGAAGAATAAAGCTAATTATCTTTATTCGAGTTTCTTCTTCATTAATTACTAGATATTTTTGGAAAAAAAAAACATACTGCCAAGCTGTGCAAAAATGCAGCAGAGATGATAGATCAGCTGCTAAGTATTTACAATCGCGTATTCTATATTGTGATTTTGAATTTGCGTGTGTTGGTTGGCATAAACGAAGCATGTTCTTCATATCATGACTTTCTGCTGGAATGACAACTGCTCGTCTTAATGAAAAAGGGAGAAAAACAAGTTCTAAGAATTTGCAAAAACTCTTGTAATATTTATTGAACTGAACATTGTCAGCTCTAATCATATATTAAAATCATCTGATTTTGTTAGGAGAATGCCCGCATATTCTTACTCCATAAAATGGTTAGGTAATAGAAGTATTAAGTGTTGGAAATATGAATTTTTTTGTACAGCTATTTTCGGTTAAGTGAGCCATCAGGATACATTGAACAGAAACGATAGACTGTATATTTTTAGCGATAAATGTGTATGTATTGTCATTAATATATTTTTTTTTTATATTTTATATTGTTCACATTAAATAATTTTCCTGATCGGTCTGTTATATCGTAACACTGCCATAGGAACCTTCGACCCCTAATCATCTCTAGTTCAAAGCAGCTTAAGCTGGGCACTTCCATCAAGCCATGTCAGATCGATTTTACCCAAAATGGTATTCAAAATTAACTGATGTTTGGACTCTCTATCCAGCTAGCACGCAATCCTGATTGCCAGCAACAGTTACTAGAAGAGCTCATGTCTATCGATAGCTCGGAGCTACCCACCTATGAAGAGCTGAACGAGATGTCCTATTTGAATGCCTGTTTCAATGGTGAGTGCTTTTTCCCCCACCACATCGCTTTCACTTACATTTTCTTCTCTAATGCAGAGAGCTTGCGTATATATCCGCCTGGTCTGTGGGCTGCTAAGATCTGCACAAAGGAATACACATTCGAGGGCTGCCGACAGAGTACACCACTGCGCATGCGGCCCGGAGATACTGTTATGATACCGATATATGGCTTGCATCACGATCCGGAATTTTATCCTGAGCCGAGTTTATTTCGACCCGGACGTTTCTTACCCGAAAACGGTGGCGTCAAGAAATATCGTAATATGGGTGTCTTTCTCGGCTTTGGCGACGGTCCACGCCAATGTCTGGGACTACGACTGGCGTTAGTCCAATCTAAGGCGGCCATAGCAGCGATTGTGAAGCGCTTTGAGGTGCGCGCCAATCCACGAACCAAGCCTGGCATTCGTCTCGATCCCTCCATATTTGTTGCCATGCATGAGGGCGGCGTTTGGCTGGACTTTGTACCAAGATACCAATAAAGAAGAATTACTTTTGCCCTGAATTTAAAGTATTTTTTAAAGGTAAGAACGATTATTAGCACTACCTGTGTAAAAAGATATTTGGTGGCGAAGAAAACAGGAGGTGTTTAGATGGACAAACACTTGTAGCCGCCCCGCAGTAAATATCCAGCTACTGCCACCACCCATATAAAGCAAACATTATCCGTTTCGATATCAGGAAAATTCTCATGCAAGATGTGATGTCTCTAATACATATGGTGTTTTGTTTGGACAAGTGAACTGAATGCCCATCTGCTGATCATAACAGGAAAATATATCAAATATCTTTAAGTATTTCAAATATAAAACAAACTCAAATTGCTTAGTTATGAGAAGAATGCACATGCTTAGTCTTTAGTTTTTACAGCATTTGAAGTAGAAATGTAAAGACCCAACTCTAGAGAGCTGCTGATCACAACAGTAATAAATAAAATAAAGTGAAGTAAGTGCATGTCAAGTTTGAAGTCTTCAGCTTGTAAAGTATTTGATATAGAGGTGTTCAGACGGACAAACAGTCGCAGCACTCCCTTTCACCCTTCAGTTAAATGGTGGCTAGCGACTGTGCGGTAACTGTAATGTCATATAAGAAACTTCTAGAGAGCTGCTGATCACAACAGTAATAAATAAAATAAACTTAAGAATGTGCATGTCGAGTTTGAAGTCTTCAGCTTGTAAGGTATTTAATATAGAGGTGTTCAGACGGACAAACAGTCGCAGCACTCCCTTTCACCCTTCAGTTAAATGGTGGCTAGCGACTGTGCGGTAACTGTAATGTCATATAAGAAACTTCTAGAGAGCTGCTGATAACAGTAATAAATAAAATAAACTTAAGAATGTGCATGTCGAGTTTGAAGTCTTCAGCTTGTAAGGTATTTGATATGGAGGTGTTCAGACGGACAAACAGTCGCAGCACTCCCTTTCACCCTTCAGTTAAATGGTGGCTAGCGACTGTGAGGTAACTGTAATCTCATATAAGAGAGTACAAAATGTGCGATTTGTTTAGTAAACTGTTTAGTCGCACACTTTCCAAATATTTGGTAAACACAAATAAACAAACTTTCGGCACGATTGTACGAGTAAGAAGTGAAGATGGAGATGCCACAATGAATACCACTCTTTGACATTGGCCTATTTTATTGTTGTATTGGGTGTGCGAGCGTGTGAGTGTGCGTGTTAGATGTTAGACGGGCGGCAGTGGTGGCTCTTTGTTGACTGCCACCTTATGTCACCTGTGAATGGGTTTGGCAATTTGTATTTACATTAACTTCATCAGCAACGGCGACAGGCCATCAAAAGCGCATTAATGCAATTCAAACGAAGCTGCTTCAACCCATACCCATGCCCATGCCCCCAGCCCCTAGCCCCCAGTCCCTTGCCCAATTCGGTCTCGGCAGAGATCTGGGCCTGCCACAACTTGTTGGCTGCTGTTGGTTGCTTCGATTTGATTTGTTTTGTCTTGTCTTGTTTTCCTTGTTTATCGTGGCTGTCACCACCGGCCATTATAGATTTCCATTTACTTGCTTTCTAATGCTGATGAGCAGCCGTCCAAAATTCATAAAATTGACGAGCCGCGATTACAACACATTTGAAATCAATAAGCGCTTCCATCATGTCATTCGATTAGGGCCGATATAGCCGGTTTTTCGGCTTATCATTTCGTTCGCCGTTCGTCTTAATTAATTCGTTATAGTATGAAAACAATCTATTTGATTAAAAGTCAACTTACATGGGCGTAACAAGCGCGACTAAAGATGCAAGGTGGAAGATGGAAGATGGGAGTGGAGTGGAGTGGAGTGGCTCGGCTGGGAATGTGGCAAGCGAGCGGAAGCGCCAATCGATTCGCAATAAAACTATATACTTGTAGAAAACCTATTGGGCAAGGCCAGTGTCGTGGGCTTAAAAGGTTTTCAAATGCTGGAACCGACTGCCATTAATTGGCGGAGGGTTTTGCGTAACCCGCGAATCAGAAACGAGAAACCAGACCCACAACAAATTGAAAACACCACTCCAATTATGTTCATATACATATATTATAAATTTATTAAGTAAGAGCAATCGTTTCGAGTTTTCTGACATCAAATGCTTAAACGCTGAATGCAAAAACAATATAACAAGCAGCCAGCGCTTAAATTAATAGCGAGCGAGCGATTAATAAAACAAAATATAAAAAAAAAACAAAAACAAAAACATTATAACAACAAATGGAGGTCACGAATGGAGGTACGACGAATATCTATAACTAATCAGTGCTAGGATGGTGCAATGCCTGCAACTAGAGCGATCAGTAACGTTGTAGCTTCAAGGTGGTGCTGGCTCTGGGTCGGCGTGGTGGCAAATAACCGTTATGGCTGTTACTGCTCGTCTGTGTGGTTGTTATTGTTGGTGTTGGCGGCACCACAAACTCCTTCTGATCATCAAAAATCTTGACCGTCTGCACATGATTCTCGACACCGCTGTGCGCGTTCTGTGTAACCACCTTAACCACCTGATGGTGACCGATCGGCTGCTCATTGGTTGCGCCCAAGATCTTGATGGTCTTGACCCCGGCCTGATCGAGACTCTCGAGCACCTTAAAGGTGCGCACACCGTTCGACTTGAGGATTTGAACGGTGCGCACGCGTGTGGTGGCGCCGTGGGCGTGGGCGTGGGTGGGCGTGGGCGTGGCAGCAGCGACAGCCACATTAACCGCCATTTGAACCTCCTTGGGCATGAACTTTTGCAACGATTGTTGGGCGGCAATGCTCAGCACTGGGCCGGTGGTGCTGTGTGGTGCAACGGGCTGCAATTTCTGCACCGGCAAGAGCCGCTGTGGTTGCACTTGAACTCGTGGCTGCACAAATGTTTGCTGCACAATGCGCTGCTGTTGCTGTTGTTGTTGTTGTTGCTGCTGCTGATGGTGGTGCTGCTGGTGGTGGTGCTGGTGCTGGTGGTGCTGATAGGCTTGTGGCACCGCATTGCTGACATAAGACATGGCTGGCGCATAGAAACGTGGTCGCTTGGACTGTTCTCGATACATGGGCGCCACCTCTACATGATGCTGCTGAACCACCTGTTGCTGGTGCACCTGTTGGTTGTGGTGGTGGTGCTGGTGCTGGTGGTGGTGCAGCTGTTGTTGCTGTGCTGGCTGCGCGTAACGCGTAAATGGCTGCACTGTGTTCATGTAGCTGCTTAGTGGGTGGATGTGGGTGACTTGGGTGGGTGGTGGTGCCGGTGCAGGCACAGGCACAGCCACTGGTGCGGGTGGTGCAGCTACCGGAGCCACTGGTGGCAAATAGCCAGGTGCATTGTATTGCTGCTGCTGAGCTTGATAGCTTGTTGCAGTTGTGGCTGCTGTTGCGGTGGCGGTGACAATTGTTGTCTGTGGTGCCAGTGGTGCAAGTGGTTGTTGCGCTGCCTTGGGACGACCATAAATAATATCAGCGCCTTGTCCATGTGTCGCCACATTAATCTGCGACTGCACCACCACTTGCTGTGGTCCGAGCTGAGTAATTTGTTGCTGTTGCTGCCCCTGTTGTTGTTGTTGTTGCTGCAAGAGAACCGCCTGTTGGTGCTGCTTCTTCAGCAACTGCGTCTGCGTCTGCAGACTGTGGAGCTCAGCAATGGCTGCCTCGGAATTTTCCGGTTTGATGAAATCGTAACCATCTGGCAGAGCGCCAGGATGACGAAGTGTGGGCTGCGTGGGCGCCACCACCACCGCTTGTTGTTGTTGCTGGTGTTGCTGCTGCTGATGGTATTCGATTTGTTGTTGCTGCTGCTGCTGCTGTTGCTGATAACTGACGGCCTGTTGCTGTGGTTGCACAATGGGCTGTGTCTGCACAATGGTGGGTTGTGTTTGCACAATGGCCTGTGGTTGCGGTTGTGGCTGTGGCTGTAGCTGTGGTTGAGCCTGTCGCAGCTCAGGATTGTTGAACTCATAGCCTGGCGGCAGGTAGCCAGGCGCTTGATAATCGTTGCTGGCTGGCTGCACAGCATCAGTCTGCACTTGCAATTGTGGCTGTAGCTGCTGCAGTGGTTGTGGTTGTGGTTGTGGTTGCAGTGGTGTAGGCACAGGCTGTGGCGCTTGTTCGGGATTGGCAAAATCGTAGCCGGGTGGCAAGTAGCCAGGAGCACTGTACTCGCCGTTTGTGGCTTGCGTTTGCGTTTGCACTTGCAGTGGTTGGGCTTGTGGTTGCACCTGAATCTGTTCGGCTTGTGGCTGCAACTGCGCTTGCACCTGGGCCTGCTGAAGCGCCTTCACCTCTGGATTGCTAAAGTCATAGCCAGGTGGCAAATATCCAGGTGCTCTGTAATCGGCTTGGCTCTGGGAGTGCGTCTGCTCGATTGTGGTTTGCACAGTTGGCGGCGCTTGAGCGTTGGTGGTTGGTGGCAAATAGCTAGGACCACGATAGACGGGCTTGCTCAGTGGTTGCGCATAGTTGTTGCTGATGGAACTTATGGGTGCTTGGTATGTTGGCTTGGGCAGTGGCACCACCTGTTGCTGCTGCACGGGCTCCAAATGCGTAACGCTCGAAGCTGTAGGCGGCAAGTAGCCAGCTGCCTGATAGCTTTGGGCGGTGGCAGTTGCTGTGGATGCCGTCGAGATCACGGACTGCTGCTGTGGTTGCACGGCCGACTGATAGGTAAGTGGCTGTGTGGCTTGAGTGGTGGGTGGCAAGTAGGCCGCTGCGCTGTAGGCTGCCTGACTCTGCTGCCGTGGCGCCTTGCGCTGGAAATCATGCTTGTAATTGGAGGGGAAGGGCACCGGCACCGAGACAGGCACGGGCACGGCCACGGGCACGGGAACAGGTGTTGCATGCGCGCTGCCACCATCGGTGAAGCTCAAGAAGGATAAATCCAAATTATCATCATTTGAACCACCGCTGCTGTGCACCACCTGCGCTCCTGCTGCGCCCGCATGCTCGTGAATCTGTATCTCCTCGTGCTGCTGCTGCTGCTGCTGCAGATGCTGTTGCGGTGGCGGCAGATAGCCAGCCTTTAACTGCTGTGGCGCCGCCTCGTAGTGGTTGTGCACCTCAAAGATCTGATAGCGCGAGTTGCCATAGCTGGCCTCCTCGAATACTTGCTGCGATCGCTGCTGTTGTGTCGGCTGCTGTCCTTGCAACTTATAGTACTGCTCCTTGACAATCACACGCTCTGGAGCGGGCGGCAAGTAGCGTCCACGTTGTTGCTGCTGCTGCTGCTGCTGCTGGTGTTGTTGTTGTTGCTGACGAAGCTTCAGCGATATGTCCGCGGCGGCTAATCCAAATTGCGCGCCAACGGCAAGTGCGAGTAAACAGCAGATGAGCTGCGGCAACAAATAAAAAAAAAAACAACACACAATTAAAAAAAATTAATTAAACATTTTCTAAACGCAAAACCAATCAAAAAGGTGGCTGGCTGGTCACACAATGTCACATAAATGCACTTTTAAGTCCTTTGCCACAAATTGCTTGCACCATTTTTTCTTCTTCTTTTTTTTTTTTTTGAACACTGAATATTTTGTTACACTTGAACGCCGCCTGGCCACTTACTTTCATCGTCGCGTTGGTCGTGCTTAAGCCCTCGTTGTCCAACAGTCAATGATGGCCAGACTTGACCCGTTCACGCATTTTATACAAGGGAGCCATTTAAGCGTCAGTTCGTCTCGCATTTCGCTAATTCGTCGCTGCCTCCGCCGCCTCTTCTGCTCATCATCAATGAGCCGACCACGTACCATTGATTCATGCCGGCCATTCGTTCATTAATTCAGCAGCGTGCGGCTGCGCATGCGCAATCCATGCCCTCAGCGACTGCGACTGCAACTGCGACTGCGACTGAGATGCCTTTAAAATGCAAATTTGCCATTGAGCTATCATCGATTGGCCATAAAATCAACATCAACAAACAGACCAATTTTTTCTTTTTCCTAATGGGCGGATGTTAATAATGTAGCTTGTGTGGCAGACAAATTTTCCATTTCCCACATCCCTTCTATCTTGATCGCATAATCCAATTTTGCAGCGTGAAGTCGATCACACCAAACTGAATAATTGTATCAAATTAATTTCAAAAAAATTGAATTGATTCGGAGTTTATGGAACTTTTGGTTCATCACTAAAGCGATTCCAAGTTCCTGCATGATTAAATATAAGTGGAAATATGACTCGGTTCGAATGATTTCCAAAATTACTTGCAGTGTTCAAATAAAAATAAAAGTGTGAATGTACATACGTAACAGCTAGAAGATGGCTTCGTGGTTCTCCATTGATAAGTATACTATATATGTACTATATATACTATATATTACAAGATGAATCAAATTGTATGAACACCGATAGCTTTCGAACCATAAGAGCTTGAATTTTTTTTTACCCAAATGTGCCATCTGAGATATCATCTTTTTTTTTAAGCACATTGTTTGGGGGCATTTTCTTAAAGATACTCAATCAAATTTGTTTTTCAACATAACCGATAGCAGAGTTTTAAATGACTAAACATTTTGAATTCAAGTAAATTTTTTTCAACGCAATCACTAGTCCCATTACAAGTATACTATACTAGCTAGCACTACGGCCCAAAAAAAAAAATGGAAAAATTACATATTTTTTGAGGAAAAAAGCTTTATAGGTCTGATAGAAAATGCAGTGTAGTCCATTTCTGTATAATTGGGGTAATAAATGGACTATTAATGGGGGTGTAAAACAACAACTACAATTGCCTGAATTTCTTGTAAATATGATTCACTTTTTTGCTTATAAAGATATATTAATCAATTCTGCTGTTTATGAATTATCTATAATATCCAGGGATCGCAAATAAAGATTATTATGTTTTTTTTTTAACGAAAAAACTGTATAGTAACTTTGAGAAAGCGAGGAATTTACCAATACACCCTTTATAGGATTATCTATGCATTTTCACCAGGAATTAACATTTTTAATTTTTATTTATTCTCTTAAAATTTAATGATTATTTTCAGTTTTACTTTACAACTTAACAAATAATAAATTTTTTTGATCAAAAAAATAGAACTCAAGCTATAATACTGCCTGAAAATATTTTTTTAAGGAGTTTTTTTTTAGCCTAAAACTGTACTATAAGTGTATATATGTATATGCTAAAGGTTAAACCAAATGTTCAGATTTTAGTGCAATAAAGCTATAATTGCTTGGATGAGTGTGGTGCAGTAGAAAGCATTCTTCTTCGTCTTTGGAGACACCCTGCACCCTGTTCTGTTGTCCCCTGCCCGTACACATAATTATTCCGACCATAAATATATACTATATAGTATATGCTCGTATAAATTGTTGATGTAGGAAATCTTTTGAAAAATGTTTGTCTTCACAGCTTTTTGTGTTTCCTGTGTATCGCGTTTGCTTTTTCGCACAAAACCACATACATATGTATGAGTGGTTGGGGTTCGAGGGATTACAACATCTTGCAAAATGTTCGCTATTTAGTTTTCTATTTCTTTTTCGTTGCAACAAATTATTATGTCATTAGCATTGACGGCCTAGGGAAGCGTCACGTTCCAGCTTTACGGATTATCAGCTAATTAATGATTTGCTTTGAACTATTTGTGTGATTGCTGCTGTTGCCAACATTTGGCAAAGCATTAGCATACAGATACTTACTTATACATACACTATACTCGTATATTAACATATGTATGTTGGCCTACAACTGGCGATTTGGCGATGTCAGGTTTCGGGGCTGGGCGCCTTGCGCAAGGCACGTGCAGCCCTACAGCTAAATTATGAATATTGATTTGATTTAATTAAGTTAATATTAGGTGTCCATTAATACAATGTATTTGCATATTTGTTTTTCGATGAGTTATTAGATTTCCAGCGACACAAATGCTTCGACTTCAATTAAACAATTATCAAAATGTAACTACAAGTATGTAGCCATCCATTTCGAACTGTTGCGTATTTATATTTCTATCGAATTGAAATTTTCCAAGTGACTAAAGTGATATTTTCGATTAAAACACAATAAACATATTAATACTCGTAATTATGATATTAAAATGGTAAAAACAATTTGGGAAGGTCAATTATTATGGAATGTCTTGAGGCCAAATACATGTGAGAGTCGAAGGATTCACATGCGACCAGCAAGATAAACGAATCGCTTTAGACACGTCCGCCTTTCACCCTGTTCGACCGTATGAACACCGAATACTATTGAACTTTTGCTGCTAGGGACACCAAACTTGGTATGCAGACTTTTCCCATCCCTACACAGAACCAGTATATTTCAAACCCTATGAGGCTACATTATTTTATATACCTGCCATAGGAATGATTGGCGAAAAAATTACTCATAGGAGCATAGCATCTTTATTTCTGAAGCAATCTGAAGCCAATTTTGTATTAATCAATTTCTTATAGTGTCTCTTGATATACTGAAGTTTTATCAAAATCGGCCATAGGAACGATCTTTGGAAAATTCCATCGTAGTACTAAACAGTTTTTTGTTCATAAAGATATTAATTTTTTGGTATTATTTGTATTTGGGGCTTCAGACAACATTTTTATCACAACTCCTTGCGTATGCTCAAGACATTGGCATCATCGGGCGTATCAAGCGGGATCAAAGAAGCACAACGGTTGCCAAAAGATAAAGATAGACAACTGAAATGTAGAGCCGCTTCTTGATCAATTCAAATCACATTACACAAAATACTATATTCAACTATCTATATACAAGTATATGGCGCAGAGACAGGAACCATGCCTGATGAGGCTGTTCTTGGGGATATTTGAGCGACACGTGCTTCGAGAGATCCTCTCCTTTTCCACATAGATTTATGCCAAGATCTGCAGAAACTTAGCTACGAAACTTAACTATGGACTTTGTTTAGCAAAATAACAAAAATCTATCTATCTTTGCTGGAGTGACGAGCACGTGGGGGAATACTTTGCACCACATTTGGGTATAAAGATAGGAAGCCTACTAGGAAGGAGAAGAAGTGGATCAGCTTTTAGTTGACCTCTTATGGCAAAACTATTCTAACTAACAGTTCTTGCTAAATAATTGGGTAAATATTAGCAGAAACTTCTTTGACATGACTAGCAATTGTTTAGGAGGTTTGGGAGCCCTACCAAATAGATTTTAGATTTTAAAGCATTGTCTTCAATGCTGCTTTTAAACGCTCTAAAATCATTGAACCTAATGCGCTCATACATTTTTACATCAAATTTCTCTACAAAGACTTGGGAAACACGCCAGACCTTGACCTATCAGAGCTATCAGTTTTTTTGAATGCCTTTATTTATTTAAATGCACAAATGTTATTTAACGGCTCAAATAAAAGCGGCAAACAAAGGCAGCGGAGGCAACTAAAGGCATGAAGTTATCAAACTACGAGTATTGATTTGTCTTTGGGCAAAGACAATGCTGAGGGAAGCTTTAAAGACCCACTCTGTTAGCCCTAAGTGTACGGAAGGAGGGGCGCGACCCATGTAGTGTGTATGTAACTCTTGGCTTAATAACAATGTTTTTTCTTTCGTATTCAATTAGCGAATTAGCATATAAACAGTTCGATTTGAATTTCTTTCTGTGCATTCGATCGTCATAACTTAACATACCACGAGTATATAGTATATTATGCATATGCATCGTAATAAATTAATTTTTATTAACAAATACCCGCCCATTACAGCGCCGGGAAACTCGAATGGCATTCATAAATACGCACATCTACTATATAGTGATATCTATGTATATATTTATTTATTTATACTATACAATATATAATTTTTAATATGTAAGTTGGAGCGATTGACGAGCTACATGCGGCGATATCGTTATGCGGAGCTCATTTATCAATTTTGTAAATTCGCCGAAGAAGTGGAAAGAAAAATAAACAACAAATATTGATCGTCAACAAGAGCGGCGCAAAATGTGTGTCCGGTCGATCGGCGGCAGCATTATGTTTGCCGTAGCTGATTGGGATATAACTTTTTAAAAGATGGATTAGCAACTATCGAGGGTCCATTCGTAAATTCAGCAAAGCTGAAAATCACATTTCTGGCCTTTTCGTGCTAAGGCCGGTTGATATTTGATTGGGATATAACTTTTATGGAACGAATTGGAGAATCGGTTGCATGGCATAGCTCTTCAGATCCCATATAAGCATAAACAATAGGCAGCTTTCGTATCTTGTAGTTCCGTTAATATGTGTTTGGAATATAACATATTAAAGATATATAAGCAACAAATGAGGATTTATTCGGTAAAGCGTCGAATTAAAGAACTTAAGAATCCTTTGTTCTCGTTAAGACATTAAGACCCTTTCAAATGTTGAAGAATAAGCAGAGTTCAAAGCTCGGAGGGACGGTTGATGTTGCCTTAATCAGCAGAGTTTATAGTATTAATTTTCATAGCTTAAACTTCCTTTTATACAAGTATATCCCATTAGAGGTATTTGATTGAAATATAACTTATTTAATATAGATAAGTAACGGAAGTGTCGAATTAAAGAACTTTAGATCCCATTAAGACCCTTTCAAGAGTTTAAGAATAAGCAGATTTCATAGTTTGTGGAACGGTTGATATTTCCTTTATCAGCTCTACTATATACTGCATTAATTTTCTTCAGAGGGCCATCTAAGTTTAAACTTCCTTTTATGCAGGTATAGGTTTTGATTAAATCGATTTTGCTACATTGTGGATGAAAGGAAATTTATACCCACAGCACCTTTGTTCAGTATACAAGTAAATAAGTATTTATCAATAGAGAGAGGCGAAGGTCTTCTATTTTATTTTTATTATTATTATATACCTACTTTACCTTCCAATATATTTATATTTATCCTTAAAATAAATTATCTCTCTACTCGTTCTCAATTTATTATTTTTCAATAGAAAGAGAAAAATGTCTTCCATTGTTAATGACCAATCTTTATAGAATAATGAACAATCTTCTAGGCTTTCCTATCTGGAGTAGAATATCAAATAGTATATAAGCTTTCAGTCTAATTCATTTAATCTGTGCTCCTGTTCTTCTGTGAGTTTATCTGTCCATACCTATGCGTATATAGTTTTTTACACAAAAAACAAGAGAGAACGCTACAGTCGAGCAAGCCCGACAGTGGAATACCCTGTACCCAGGTAAACTTGCGTCACTGAGTTATATGCGCCCATAGCAGCAGCAAAAAGAGGAAGAAGAAGAGCGAACTTGTTGCTGCAGTTTGGGGGGGTTGTACTGGCGAAAATTTGTTTTGCTAATAACTTTTCTTAGAATTGACCGAATTGAATAAAATTTTGAACAACAATAGACAATTATATATAAATTGTGTGTGCAAAGTTTGGTTTAGGTAGCATTTGAAATGTGGACGCTATTGACGAAATTCTGTAGCGGGGGAAGGGGGGGGAAATTAAAAAAAAAAAAATAAACTCGTCCTTACTCGGACCTAGGAGAATCTGGATGCCAACTTTGGTTATTCCAGCTTTTATAGTTTCTGAGATCCTTGCGTTCATCCAGACGGACGGACAGACGGACAGACGGACAGACGGACAGACGGACGGACATGTCTAGATCGATTTCTCTCGTCATGCTGATCAAGAATATATATACTTTATGGGGTCGGAGATGCTTCCTTCTGTATGTTACATACTTTGCACAAACCTAATATACCCTTTTTACCCTACGGGTACAGGGTATAATAACAATCTGTCTGGAGAATCTGTCTCCAAAGAACGAGGAAATATGTGAGAAGAAAGACAAGTACCCTATTTTGTCCATATCTTCAACACAGTCATAGAGAGGAACGCATTGGAGCGGAATTGATATCCAAATGCAGGGTATTGCTGATACATGCTATGCCCTGGCGATGGATGGGCTGATGAGGCCAGGTTTCGACTCGTGTGGCCCTCGTAATGCCACAGTAGTTGGCTACTAATTGATACATAAAGCGACCACAGAATTGTTGTTGTTATTGTTGTTGTGCTGCGACCATTCGAATTTTTTTGAAGTTGAAGTTTAAGCGGCGTTTAAGAGTTTGTCGCTGTGTTTGTCTTCAGCTTTGGGTTGTGGCCCATTCGTGTATCCCGCTGTCTCATCTATTATGCCGATGCCGATATGCCGATATTACAACAACCTGCCTTGAGTGGTTTAGTGGCTGGGAGTGGGGCTGGAACTGGAACGGGGACTGGGACTGGGACTGCACGTACCAAGGCAGATAGATGTGTAGATGCAAATCTAAACGGGTTACAAGGTGTTTGGAAATACGCTGCATATGCGAGTATGTCGTATGTAAATTGTTTTGACAGCCGTGTCTTTTTTTCTCATGAATTTGTCAGCATTAGGGTTCGAGAGTGTGGCTCTTTAATGGTTAGGCATCAATTATCCATTTTAAATGGGGTGTTTAGTGTGAGGGGAAATTTGTAATTTTTGATTTTCGATTTGGTTTCTAGCAGTCTTCTGTCCGGTTGACCTTGCTCCACACATACTCATATATACATACAAGCATATCTCAAATAAATTGTTTGTGCAAAACGAGGCTACAATATCGCAAATCTTAATTATGCGACACATGTGTCCCATTCATGAGGTTGATGTGGATGTTGATGTTGATATGGATGATGATGTTGAAGTTGGTGATGATGATGATTAACCTCATTTTGGCATCAATCAAATGTCATCACAGCGGTTCATCAAAATCGGTCGCAGATCAGCGCGAAGCGAATCGAATGGAAGCAAAACTGTGACCAATTAATTTACACATGTCCTTCACACGCACACCTTCCCTTTCACCCTTTTTCGGACAAATAGCCACACGATTCAGCTTAGGTATGCAGCGATAATAAAGCGAGCAAGCCCCACCAACATCAAATTTACTATATTCACGTTGTTTGCTTTTGTGTATTTCTCTAAAGTTTTGCCACCTTTGTATACATACTTATGTACATATGTTTTTTCAGTCGATAATGGCAGCAGCTATGGCTAATGATGAGACGGAAACGAAGACCGCCCCGTTTGCAGCTTGATTTGCCAAATTTTCAAAGACTTTTTTGTATGTTTTCGAGAGAAATTTGATTTATTTATTTCTTTATTATTAGTTCCTAGTGCGACAAGAAAGATTAAGTTAATATTTCCTTAGATAATAAAATAAAAAGTGATTTGATAAGCCTACTTAACCTATGGGTTTTCTATTATCGCTATATCTAGTACAAAAGTGTTGCCTACTGAGTCTTTCATCTTCAAACACTTGGTGACTCTTTTTGAAAACAACAACAATTAATCATTTTTAAAAACTCAGCTTGGTGTTTGATAACATTTCGATATAATTCCAATGCGACATGAACGGAAAGGTCTTCCATTCGGCATACACAAGGCAATCAAAGTATTAACGGATGGCTCCAAGCTTGGAGACATAGTTGAAGGAGGGATCTACTTCTCGAACTTCGAACCTTCCGTTACCATTAAGACTTTTTCGTTTTAAATACAAAATTTTGCTTAGAATATTAGTAAATTAAAGTCAAAATCTAATATTTTTCGTTAAACATGAGCTGAATGCATTCCATAAAAATTTTGATATTTAAAAAAAAAATTTGTTTGTCTCTAATATAATGGGAGCACAAAATATAATTTGGGAAGCCTTCCACTGAGCTTCTAATACAAATCACGTTGCCAGAGTTAATTAGAATATCAGTAACTGAATAATTCATATTCAATTGTATTGACTATTGTAATAACTTAAAAGTAATCTGATATTTGTAACGCTAGGATAGGTTTATAAATAAATAGATATTATTATAAAAAAAAATAATAATAGTTTATCAACCAATTTGATGTTTAAAATATTAATACAGATAGCATCGGCACTTCTCACACGCAGCATTAAATCGAAGAATCTTTAAGCACCAATACCCGACTTCATCATCATAACTAAATGAATTTGTACAACTCAAGGGAAAATGCCACCGTCCTCTGCGCTTCTCATACGCAGTACTTAACCGAAGTCTTTTGAATCACCAATAACTGACTGCATCATCATATGTGATGGACTTCATGGAAAATTTCACCGTCCTCTGCGCTTCTCATCCGCAGCACTTAACCGTCACTTCCTTAATTCATGTTGTAAGCTAATATGAAGATTATTTCACAATGAGTGCAAAGACACTGCTGGCAAAAATATGTGTTCAATGGATCACTTGTAATCCGACAAAATCCCGCACCTCAATACAAGTAGCTTCGAGTCTATTTTTAGCAATCATGACAACTCGTAGTCGATCGAGTGCGTATTTGCTCAGTCCACGACTGAAATGCCCGAATGGTTTCCTGTTACAAATTTGTGACTTTCCAGCACTTAATCATAGCCTACTAGCCCTCGTTTTTGAGGCAGCAGCTCTGAACCGGCGAAGCCAAGACTCGCACATATTGATTGATGGAGCATGATCTGCGGAAGCCTTACAGAGCAATCAGAGGCTTTTAATCGTTTTCTGTGTAATGGAAGCTCAAAATCAAATCTGGCTAAAAACACGTTATATTGAGAGTTACAAAAAAGTATTGGCAACATGAATAGAAACGCAAAAATATGAGTATGATTTAAAAGTAAGAAAATAACTTCCCCTAAGAACTTTAAAAACATAGTCTAGTCACTTTCTCCACCTACCTGGTCTGATTATCCTTCTTATAGCTTCTCCTTCTTATCGATAAGTTTCACATAATTTTATACTGCAAAAACTTGATTCATCTCTTAAGGATCTCAAAAGGATTCTACACAAGAAATCACAAAATCTCAGAGCTTGTGAGCTGATAAGTCGTGTTTTCAAGAACAGAACCCTATTACTTACTTGTACGCCAAATAGAACGAGCTTAAATCTATTTATGAATCTTTCTTAGATATATGTTCATGATATATTTTGACTATCCGATCCAGCTAGTGTGAGCAAAGTTTTTTGAAACGCGACAAACATTAAGTAGCCTGTATCCAACCTTTTCTGCGCAACATCCATTTAACTAAAATAACCGTTGGATTACCGAAAAATTAAAAAAAAATCGTTAAATTAAGCTGAGTCAGTATAGAAAACATATTCTTTCCTATTTTGGCAACAATATCGAAATAGAAATAGAATTTAGAGAAGTTTTTGATAGAATTTTCATTTAAGTAGTTGGCTTTGGAAAGTACATCATAAGGTCATCGTAGCTTCCGAATTGAAAGCAGTTTAAAATTTTTCTTCGATCCGGAAAGACATTCCCATAAATACGAGTAAAAATTTTTAGCAACATGTCGAGGAAAGTGTGTGCTGAGCAAGTTTTGCAGTTCATTTTCGATGCGCGCGAGCCAGTGCCGCGTAGCCGTTTGATCACGATTTTCTCCCGAGATCCTGCAGATGAGGCGGGTAAGAAGGAGCTGGACACCATCCTGTCCACCGCTATGGAGTTGGGACTTGTCCTGGAAACTAACGACTGCTTCTGTAGCTGCGAGCACGCTGACGTAGCAGAGGAGCAGTCAGAACTCGAGCAGAGCGCTGGACACCAGTAACCAAATAATAGCAGCATTAACAAAAAAAAAAAAAAAGAAAAAAAGAAACTATTGGTAAGTGGAAAAAGAGTCTTCCTTTAGTGCTGTTTTTCAAATAATATCGGCTTTTTCATTTCATTGCAGGACATTGGCATTGCGGTTTGCTAACGTTCTTCGTAATATTGTAAAAGTTTGGTAATGAAAAAGACACTGGTATTACATCAAAAGGGTACAAAAATAATATTAAAAAAAAAATGGTTACAAGTTTTAAATTCTGATAATCTGATACATCAGACGGAATTTGTTGTTGTACTCTATTGGTAAGTTCGAGTCCTCCAATAGAATGGCATAAAACTATTTCGTTTTCCCCACATTATAGGAGACTTTCCATATGCGGCTAGACTGCGAAAGTTGTTCACAATTATATCATAGTTTGGCGATGAAATGAAACTTCAATAAAATCGAATGCGTAAAAGAAATCGAAAACCTCTGGAGTTTTTAATTAATACTTGATTCTGAAAAGCTTGGAAGTTTGCTTTTGGGGAGGGATAAGGACATTACAGGGTACATGAGGTGAATTGATTTTGTTCTTCCATCGGTCTGCTATCAAGCTGGATCCTTATTACCGAAGGGTAATCGGACGTTCCTGAAGTTGTTACGTCACAATTCATCAGTTCTGTTCCAAGCTCTCGCTGATTACTGGAATCACAGTTGCTTTAGTTCCTGTTATCAATTCATAATGGCTTTGGCTGTAAGTTCTAAAAAAGAAAGCTTCGCAGTTAGCTCCTTTTACCATGTATGAGCGCTACATGAGTGCAGTTGGTGGCACTCATGAATGGTTCTCGTAATTAAAGTGAGTGGCTTTATGCAGCCCTCTACTATTGCGATTGTGACTACTTATGTGTTAATTTTTTTGAAATGTCTTTATTTCAATTGCAATTCTTTATATTATATGTAGGTGAAGCCATGGTGAGACATGCAAATAATTTGCACACCATTTTTGTGTGTTTTTGTTCTCATGAATGGTTTTCGTTCCTTAAAGTGAGTGGCTTATGCAGCCCTCTACTATTGCTATTGTGTCTAGATTCTTCGCTCTGAACGTACTTATGTGTTTATTTTTAAAGACATTTCATTTGCAATTCTTTACATTATAAGTGGAGCCATGGTGAGACATGCAAATAATTTGCACACAATTTTTGTGTGTTTTTATTCTCATGAATGGTTCTCGTTCCTTAAAGTGAGTGGCTTTATGCATACCTCTGTTATTGCGATTCAGTTTAGATTCTCTCTCTGAACGTACTTGTGTTTATTTTTAAAGACATTTCAATTGCAATTCTTTATATTATATAGTAAGTGAATCCATGGTCAGACATGCAAATAATTTGCACACAATTTTTTTGTTTTTTCTTTTGAAAGCTAAATCCCAAAAATGTTTGTAGTAGCAGAGTTATAATTTCGTAGAGAATTTAATGGTTTTCGTAAAAGCGACATGCTTTGAAACTCGGCATTTGGGTGAGCAAATTATTTGTATGTCTGACCATAACCTAATTAATATTTGTTATTTAAAGTAAGTAGCTTTATCTGCAACCATCGGCCGAGAGAGTAGTTCGTTGGAATCAGCTGGAATGGTATTTTGTTTGAGTGGAATAGCCTGCAGAAATTTTGAAAGGGTTAGCTGCTGTCTATTGATAGGAAAAGTCCCATGCTTAGGATAATTAGATAATTAAATAGAATAAATAAATGTGTTTATAACGACTTCCGATATATTTTTAATACAATTCAATGTTTTGGCCGAAGATACAAATATTATGATACAAAAAATATACAAAGTGCGATGTATTTAACAATTTGGCAACAAATATGCGATGGAAAAAAATTACATACATATGTATTTACAATATTTACAAAGGATGGTGAGCTTCTCTGCCTGCTCTTGTTTTTGGGGGATGGAGCTTAGGCCCAGCCTCCAGCTGGCTGCCAACCACCACCACCTCCACCGCCCCCACCAGAGGACCAACCACCACCACCGCCACCGCCATGTCCACCACCGCCTCCGCCGCCGCCGCCGCTGCCCAGCTTAATAATTTTGATGACCTTGGTAGCACCGCCGCCACCACCACCGCCACCGCCTCCAGACCAGCCGCCACCACCACCGCCGCCAGAGGACCAGCCACCTCCGCCACCACCACCATGTCCTCCACCACCGCCGCCGCTGCCGAGGCTTATAATTTTGATGAGCTTTATGTCACCACCACCTCCACCGCCGCCGCCTCCGCCGCTAGACCAGCCACCTCCGCCGCCTCCACCAGAGGACCAACCGCCACCGCCACCGCCGCCTCCTGAAGACCAGCCACCGCCACCTCCGCCGCCGCCGCTCTCCGTTATAACTTTAATAATTTGCACATCACCGCCGCCGCCTCCGCCGCCACCTCCACCGCCCGAGGACCAGCCACCACCGCCACCGCCACCGCCGCCTGAGGACCAGCCACCGGTGGGCTTCGGCTTGGCCGACACGCTGGCTGCTCCAATGAGCAGAAGACACACAAAGGCCTGCAACGAATAAGAGGCACGTTTTACAAAAAAAAAATATATATATACAACTATAGTATGTTCAACAAAAGAAACACTTCACATTTCACGCAAAAAAAAAAAAAAAATAAGAAGGAGAATCTTTGAATATTCCAGAGGCAACACATACTTTCATATTGAAATGCTTAATCCGTAATGCTTTCGAGGCACACAACTCGTCTGTCTGTCGCACAAACTCGCACTGACAAAGACACGGCGGCCGCCCAAACTTTTATACCAATTCAGCGCAGTCGCAGCCTCCGACTCAGGCAAGATGGGTGGGGTGGGGAAGGGGGGGGAATAGCTAAGTTGGTTGGGGCGACTGCGCACATTATTATTAACCGGAAAAGCGATTTTCCATTACCCGCTCGCTAACTCACTCGCTCGCCTGATTCGATGCGCAGTCGCGCAGATGTCGAAGTCGGAGGCGTGCTCAGCCATTTCTCTCTCACAGAGTTATGTGCTGCTCTTCGAGCGGGCGGCAATGTGGGCCAAATGGTGCAGCATCATCATGGCGATTGGTGCTAAGGCGAAAGTTAAGTCACCACAGCGAGCAACAGTCATTGCTGCCTCATCTGCCACACTGCCACACACAGATGCCCTCTCAGAGCCAGCACCACTCCACTCCACTCCACTCGACTCAGCCACCTTGTGCTTTATGTTTGTGTAGCATCCGACAATTCGTTGCACCTTTCCCATTACATAAGCTAAACTTGCAACTTGTTGCCGCGTCCATACATACATTCATATATATTTAGATATATATGTTTTTTTTTCTGCCTCCTCTGTCGTCTGTTGTCTGTTGTCTGCTGTTGTTTTTTCCACATTTAAGTTGCTGTAAAATTTTGCCATTATTTGATTTGCATCTGGTGGTGCTGGCGGTGCCGGCGGTGCCGCCAGCTGCCGTTTTGGCCACTGATTGCGGCAACAGCAGCCCATTTGGGCGCAGCGGCAGCAACAAAAGCAACAATCAGCCAACAGCCAACAATGCTTGACGACAAGTTGCGGCTCTTTGTTGTTGTTGTTGCATTAAATGCCAAAGCCGAAAAATCGACTCGCTTGCAATTTATGCCGCACCGCATTTTAAGCTTCGTTCGTCGCAGCTCATTGACCTGATAACAGAGTTCAAGGGGTTAAGTGTGTGTGTTTGCGCGAGTGTGTGTATCTGTGTGTATCTTTGTATGTATGTATGTGTGTGTGTGTGTGTGTGTGTAGATAACTTACATATATGACCACATTACGGTTGTTGTTGTGGTTGCTTGTCTGGTCTGTAACCAGCACCACCGTGTTAGTCAAAGTTTGTCTAAATAGGAGGCACCACATTGTGGCACACGTTGCGTATGCTTCATATTTTAGCAAATGGGGGAATTCGCTTTCTATCTAAAAGGTAACGAAAACAATGTAATTTTTGTTGCTTGTTTTAGTCTCTTTTTGTTTTCTTTATTTTCTTGTGAATCAGCCACAATGCAAAATGTTTTATTTGCAATTTTTTTAACAATTTACAATTTCTTGTACAATACATTTAAGCAAACAATTTGTGCTAAGTTTTAATGGCTGGCCTACTGGTGAGCCTTTCGATCTAGAGTCTAGATTCGAGACCAGCAGACTTAGGTCATTGGACACATCGTATGTGCCAGTCGCGTCCAGTGATCAGCCATAAGGCTTTATTCTGGATCGGTTCGACGCTGCAACCAAAAAAATTCCCAAATAAAAATAATGCAAGCAAACGCGCAATAAAATAAAACACTTTCCAACCTTCTTTATGGGACTTAAGGGTGCCTGCAAATTCTAGATTTTTCAATTGAAAAAGAAATTTTTAAAAATATTAAATTTTAAAAAAAATAAAGGAGAAGAAACTAAAATAAATCAAATAAATTGAAATTAATTAACATCTCACAAAACATACAAGCATAAAAATTACTTAAGGCACTAGCTCTCTGCTAGCTTAAATGAGTGTTTTTTTTATGCGTTTATTTGAACATTTTAGTAAATCTTATATACAAGAAAAATATATTTTTTCTAAGCTTCCCCGTTTCTAGATATTATGTTATGTTATGTTCTTTTTCTCCCTCTGGAGCCTTTTAATCTATTATTTTTGAAGCAAACAGAATTTCAGTTCATATTAAAATTCTTTACAAAATTAAAATTAAATAATTAAAATTCTTTCGAAACAGAATTTCAGTTCATATTAAAATTCTTTACAGAATTTAAATTAAAATTTAAGAACTAATATTCTTTCGTAATACTCCATAAAAAAAACTTACAATCTGCAAAAGAAAAAAGAATGCATTTGAAAGTGCGATGTTCTTCTGGTTTAATGCTCTAAAAAAATGCTACTTTCTTCAGCTTTGTGTTTTGTGTCAGTCTCTGAACAATATGTGTCAATATGTGCTATACTTATTGTAGAGAATTTAACGAGTAATTAGGTGGCGTCGGTGGTGTAGTGGTTAGCATAGTTGCCTTCCAAGCAGTTGATCCGGGTTCGATTCCCGGCCGACGCAATCCGATTTTTTTTAGTTACTTGCCATTAACTTTTTTTCTCTATTGATCAATTTTATTTTCTTGAAAACTCGATCGCTTATCATTTCTAATTTATATTTTAAAATCCTTTATTGTAGTTTCTTCATCACCAGAGTATTGGTTTTTCAATGTCAATTCGTACGTAGGGTTTGTCTGAAGACTTCTCTTGTTTATATTCTTATAGGAACTACAAATATAAATATATTTACAGGCTATTTGTAAACTATTAGCTTAAATAGCAAAAACTATTCAAAATTAGTCAGTTTGCTTGTGAAGAAGTTGGCATAGAAAATCTTTGAGTCCGCCCTACTCAATAGAATTCTGTTTGATTTCTTGAGTAACATTTTTTTTTTTTTTTTTTTTTTGAGCTAAAAGGGAGTACAAAGTTTGAACTCAACAATATTTCACTAATGCCACTGCGAATGAAAAGGCAGTCCATTAACCGCCGACTCATCTTATGGCATCTTAAACACAGCTAACCACAGTGTTTTGGTCATTTAATAGCCCGCGTCAAATCTCACACCTGTTAATTGGTGGTTCGTGAGTTCCGCACATCTTTTTAAAGCAATTATGCATTTCCACTATCGTTTTCTTCAATGGGAATTTACCAGCAAGCAAATGAAATACTCGTTAATACTTCATTCATTCTTAATAGTGTTCGGTGAAGAATTAGAGAAGTACTTTAGCTTTATTTCTGAGCCGATAGCGGTTCCATGGCAGCAATAAAAAATATAGCAACTATATATAGTTTGTAGTATACTTGGTGTGCATATGGATAAGACCAGTCTAAATGCTAAGTTTGGTCTTCCTAGCTGTTATGGTTCAAAAATTCTCGGGGCTCATACGGACGAACATGTCGATTGATCTCTACATCTGATACATCGTTTGGGCACAGCATTAGTTTTTACCTGAACTTAACTTAAACTTAAACTATTAAGCTGAGTATTATTCATTTATAATTCCGTTGATTACATGGAGTCGGTGGGCCTTTGGCTGGTTTATACAAATCGACACATGTATAGTTTATACATATACAAGTATACAAGTATGTATATATTGTATATAAGTTTAATTGCAGGTGTGTGACAATCCATACACACATTCACAATTCAAATTACGATTTTGGCCAAATGCAATCATTCATCGCAACTTTAGACGCGCTTACACAATCATGGGACAGCAACTGGCAACTGTAGCGGTGGCAGTGGTGCTGGAGGTGGTGGTGGAGGTGGTGGTGGCGGTGGCGGTGACTGTCGCCAACAAAACAAATAAACTGGCAAAAACAACAGCCGAGTCATTGCGGACCGAGCCACAAACATAAATGAAGTGGCATGGTTGTGCCATACATGTGTCCTCTCCCTCTGCCACAATACCACGATACGAGGCGCGCGCCACTCATCATCCAAAATCCGAATTGCAGCAAAAATGGCAAGCGTATGTGTCTCAAGGAGTCACTCCGACCGTGCAGCTGTACTACATTTTCTATTTATTGGAGTGGAGTGTCTGCCATAATCGCTCAACGCGCAACCATTTTAAAGATTCACACGCCGCACAACATCGGGCAACATTCAATGGCAGACTCCAACTGAGGCACATGTTGCGATTCGTTTTCCTTCTTGAGCTTCTTCAACTGCTTCGTAGCTCTCCATTCATCAAAATCGAGCGCTGAAATGTGGTTGATTGGGAAAATGAGTAACATTTTTGATAATTCAGCTTGCAGTTGTAAGCTTAAAATCGTACGTCTCCTCTAGTCGCTAAGCTATGGTTTTATTTTTTCAAAGCTGCCACAAAATATACAAAAAAAATTGTTCGATTTGCGTACTTGGTAGATGTGCTTGAGCTCCATAAGCAGGGAATAATTGCGAAGAAAGACCGCAGGCCTTCTTCAGTCGGTTAAACTAGAATGTGTGTGGATGGGAAAATGGGTAAAGTCCTTAGAAATTCAGCCCACAAGTGGGGAACAGCTGCCACAAAAGATCGTAGGTTTGGTAGCGATGGTTTTATTTTTTCAAACCTGCCACAAAATATACAAGAAAATTTGTTTATTTTCTTACTTAATTTGTTTGTCAGGGGTTACCTAAAATATTTGTTCTATATTACTTTTGCTGTTATTATTACAATAACTTTCATTAATGTGTTATTTCGTACTTAAGCTCTAGTTCTTTCTTATTTATAATTTTTTTTTTCTGATTGAACAAAAATTAGTTTTTTCGTTCGAAAACTAAATGATTTTAATTACGATTTTTTTCTCCTCCCCTTAAAAGATACGATTTCTGAAATCCTTTTCCCAAGTAAGTTAAAAGATCTCTCCTCTTTGAATTGCTTAAATTGCAAGGGAAAAAAATGTAAAAGGTACTATTTTTAAAATTCTTTTCCCAAGTAGATTAAACGATTTCATTTAATCCAGACAATCTCCTCTTTGATTTGCTTGAATTGAAATTGAAAATGTAAGATTTCTTTTCGCAAGTTAAACGATTTTGTTTAATCCACAGACAATGCTGACTGCTTAGCTCGGTAAATAATACCTTAAGCAATTCAGAGAGGAGATCAGGAGAATGAAAAAAATGTAAGCGATTCAAATAGGCTCGAGGCACTGTACTGGCCCAGTGTGCCATAATGCAACAAACTGTGGTTGGAAATGAGGAAGAAGCGAGCCAACAACCTCGACCTAAGCGAGTAAGCGAGTGCTGGTGGTTCCGCGGCGTCGCGACTTGCCACACGCTGCAGACGCATCAGATATACAGCCACGTTGTCGTCGTCTGCAGTGTCATACTACAGTCATCGTCATCGTCATAGTCTGTCTATCTGTCTGTTTCGCTGTCTGTCTGGTGTAGTAGTGGAGCAGCAGGTCAGCGGCCTTCCCTGCTGCCTGCCCTACCAGTCGCCATCAAATAACGTGTTTTTAGCGAACAAGTGAACTCGACGGCCAATTTGCCTTGCTTTGTTATGCAGTGTAATCTTCAAAGTGATCGCATTTGTGTGTCTCTTGCCAATGTTGTTGATACAGTTGGCTTTTTGTTTATACATATTTCGCTTTAGCTTGAGTCTGGTAGCTCGCCCCCCCCCCCCGCTCCCCGCAGCCCACGCAACAGGGGGGCCTTGTGGGCCAGACAACTCGTCAAAGCTTTTAATCTATTGCTTTTTATGACTTTCGCCGCTGATTTTTATGGCATACCCAGCCATAATTCGCTCTCTAAGTCGCGCTCTCCTTGCGCCCATTTCCGCCTATTTCGTAACTTTGCTTTCTGCTCGCAGGGCAAACTGAGCTCGTCCTGATGTCAATTAGCAGGGGACGGCCAACGTTTTGTAATTATAATGAATGGCTCATCGTCAACTCATCTTCAAGTTACAAGTATGTCCGACTCTGGCAATTGGCAACTGATTGGTTACTAAAAAAGGCAGCATTTATGGGGAGAAACGCAAATAGATACCTAATTGGCTTTAAATGGTGGCTTTGGGAGTTATGTATGTATGCTCTTGTAAATGGAAAACCGATTTCTTGAGGCACTCCCCAAATCGTTATATGTTAACACAACCTGAACAACAATTCTTGAGCTTGTGTTTCATAAATGTTCAAACATTGTATTTATGTACGGATATGTCTAAACTCATTTATTATACCCTGTACCCGTAGGGTAAAAAGGGTATATTAGGTTTGTGCAAAAGTATGGAACATGCAGAAGGAAGCATCTCCGACCCCATAAAGTATATATATTCTGAATCTGCATGACGAGAGAAATCGATCTAGACATGTCCGTCCGTCCGTCCGTCTGTCCGTATTTCCGTCCGTCTGGATGAACGCAAGGATCTCAGAAACTATAAAAGCTAGAATAACCAAAGTTGGCATCCAGATTCCCCTAGGTCCGAGAAAGGACGAGTTTATTTAATTTTTTGGATTCCCCCCCCCCCTTCCCCTGCTACAGAATTTCGTCAATAGCGTCCATATTTCAAATGCTACCTAAACCAAACCAAACCAAAATTTTTATCTAATTCGGTCAATTCTAAGAAAAGTTATTAGCGAAACAAATTCTCTACAGTACAAACTGCAGCAACAAGTTCGCTCTTCTTCTTCCTATTTTTGGGCGCATATAACTCAGTGACGGAAGTTTACCTGGGTACAGGGTATTACACTGTCGGGCTTGCTCGACTGTAGCGTTCTCTCTTGTTTTCTAATATTTTTTAGTCTACTTGTTTAAATGCGATAGAAGTGGATCAAACAGATTCAGATAAGTCGAAATCGATTTGCGGAAAAGTCCGAATTTTCCAATGCTTTGTTAACTCATCGAATGCCTAAGGACATGTGAAAGAAACTCACTTCAAGAAATGGTATTGAAACTAATTTAAGTAAGTCATTTTTTTTTAGATATTTAAAACTAAGCCAAATCGATTTCGACAAATCTGAATTATATAGAATTACTCGAACGATACATAAACAATATTTTGAATTATTAAAAATTTGTTTAAAGAAAGTACTGCTTCTTCGCCTTCTCCTTGGCGAGGATGGTTGTTCCTCAACGAATTAAGCGATTTGAATAACATAGCTTTGGTGTGGAAAGTATCAACATTTTTAGCGTGGGAAAGGAAGGGGAATGGCCAAGCCCATTCAGACAGCTATGTAGATCGATTTGTCTAACCATGCTTATTAATACATGTATATGCATGTACATATATCCTTATGGGTCCGGAGGTGCTTTGTTCTGCCTGTTACATGCCTTTATTCTATTACAGGCTATAACAAATTAATCCAACTCTTTAAACATGCTAGTCTGTTTTAATCCAAGTTTATGTTTTTATAGTTAAATATGTCAGCACCGTCACATCGATAAATTTAATTATTTTAATAATTACCATTCGAAAAATAGATCTAATTCCGTAGATGTGGTAACCAACATAAAAAAATATATCACTCATTTGCGGATGCAAACTAAGTGCTGTCATCTGAACTATTATAAAAATGGACTTTATATTAATACTACCCCAATCAGTCAAAATAATGCTGAGCATAAAGCGTTCTCTTGCTCCTAAAATTTGTCTGGTAGGAAAATAACAACAGGCTCTAATGGCGGACTTTATAATACAGCTACATATACATATAAGAAAAAAATCACTGTAGCCTTTTAAACACAAATGCATATTCAATAAACAGAAAGTGGAAATATGTGCTGTGATTAGATACGTGAATGCGATGATAAGATACCTTAAACGTCTACCCCCCAACATCTATTTGGGTATAATTTTAAACACTAACAGAGAGCAATTCTTTTTCACTCCACCATTCGTTTGGCAATCGTTTAGAATGGTTTAGTAAATATTTAATACTTGTACATATATGTAAATAGCAGAGATGTGCAGCATATAGGAGGTACTATAACTATTTAGATATAAAAGTTGGCGATATTCACAAAAACTATATACAAACATAAGTACACAAGTAGTATAGTCATTTACCAAAAAAATGCATTATTTTTATATGCCATTTACATTCTAAGTATCTAGGCCTTTGTTTTAAACACATCAAAGTACTCTCTGTTGACATTTTGCGTTTATTTTTGCTTGGAGATTTGTTTTGTATGATTAATCGTATGGTTTTTGGAGGTTGCTTTAGATAAACAAATTACGAAGTAATAAAATTTCACAAAAAAAACAGCAATTTGCAATAAAAACTAAGGGAATGAATACATTAAGTTAAAGCGTGAAAACAACTATAAGGAAACCTTAACTAGTTGCAAACAAAAAAAAAACACCATCATTCCTCAACTATATATGTGTGTGTGTGTTTGTCTGTCAGCCGCTTACAAACGTCCATAGTGTGCCTGGCTGGGCTTGCGATCCGTAAAGAAGTTACGCAGCACCAATATCTGAGCCAGACCGATGAACACAATGGCAGCCGTCTCCAATGAGGACCACACCATGACTCGCTGATTCAATTCATCAGCACGCTTGCGACCTTGCGACTCGCGCAGGCGATGATGCGTCTGGGCATCGAGTATGTCGTTGAGACCTTTGTGTATCGCCTGCGACGATGTTTCCATTTGCGTGAGCACAGTGGCATGCTCATCAACACCAGGCAGTGCCGGCTCCTCGCCCACCTGGAAGTCCACGTAGACGATTTTGTGCGAGAAGGTCGAGAATTGATTACTAAAGCACGCGCTATACACGCCTGTTGTTTCCGCCACAAACTGATGGCTATCGAAAGTGGCACGATCCAGCTTGTAAATGACCTGACCCTCGGGGTTCTTCAGGACAACATCCACATCAAGCTGGCCACCGGCAGACACCTGGAATTCGAAATAGGCGCTGGTGTTACGCTTGATCTGCTCATAGAAGCAATCCTCAGCATTGTCTGCCAAATCGAAGGTGAACTCAACGGCACCCACACCGTGCTGCAACAACAGCGCTACTCCGAGCATCAGCGAAAGCATCGCGAGTTTGCTGGAGCTGCCGCAGCGGAGCTTCTGCTTTCTTGTGTGAACATTTAAGTTAACGCCCATATTGTCTGCGTAATCCTCCTTCTGGTAATATTTGGTATATTGCTAGCCTTAATTTAGTTCTTATTAAGCGTACGTATTTCGTGCTACTATTTGTCATCCACTGCCACGCAGCATCTGGCAGCGTCAATGTCTTCTGATGTCCGTTGCTGTCTCTTCGTCGGCGTTTGGCCCTGTGAGCGCCCCTAGCAGGAATATGCCAGAAAAAATTCAGTGAAATAGAATATCCCGTATGGGAGAAGTTAGTTTGATAAAAACTACGATTTACTTCGTTGCTTACCTGAATATATGATAAGAACCTACGTTTTTTGTTTGCTTTTTTGGGCTCGACTAATTGGTACTGAAACTATTCCCGTAAAATGTTCTGACACGTGTCAACACTTTTTATTAGACTTTTGCAGCACTGCGCACCTAGAGTTGCTGCGCGCCTATACAGGGCCCAAAGAACACGTAAGCCTGATTAGTTGTGTACACACTCACACAGGCGCTGAATTTAAAGCGAAATGAAAAAAATGTACTTAAAACAACTTCCAAACAAAGTAAAAAATTGAAAAATTGGATATTAATTCTAAACAATTAATTGAAGTCTTTAAATAAAACTAATGCCAATAGTTCACCGGCTATAGAAATTTATTCAATCAGCTGTCTCTCAGCTATTACAATCAATATTAAGAAATCGTATTCAAAGTGCAGCTTTTGATGGTTTCTTATATGTATTTTCTATAATTCCTATTTTGCAAAATAATTAAAGATGGGTCTACTTTTTCTGAACCCTCCTATTACATTTCATTTCGAATCCATGTCATCGTAATTGGCGCTGCCAGATTGTCTTTCTGGATGAAAAATTTGATTCACTCATTTATTTGGCAGCGGTAAAACAAAACAGACGTTAGTCAACTCTACCAACAAATATAAAAATTAAATTGTTGTGCTCGCGCAAAATTTAGTGTCGTAGTGACGTATTTCTTTATATATTTATTTTCAGTCTGCATTTCGCTGAAAACATCATGCCGGTTGTAGACTTAACTGTGGATCGCAATCTGCTGTGCCCCAACTTTGATGGCTATAAGCTTTCGTTCGATGCGATGCCGGTGCTTCGTCAAGACTGCGTTCGTTTCCCATTGCGACTGGAGCCGCACATGAATCAGTTTTCGTTGTTGCACGTGGAGGTGTTCGCCATGCACAATCTGCTCTTCTCTGATCCGTGGGCGCGCAACGACAGCTACTATGTGAATTCAGCCCACGATGTCGTCAGATGTTCATACGACTTTCAGCACGGACGTGCAACGCCACAGCACGTTGTCTATAGCGTGGAGCGTCGCGATCATGGCGATGGTGCAAGTCAGCGAATTGGAGACTACAATTACTCGCTGCGCTTCATCTCGGAAAAGTATTGCGTCTTATGCGATGGCATGAACACACTGTATCTGCTGGACACTGGAAATCGCGATCGTGCCGATCAGTGGCAGCTGGTTTCGCGCACCACAATTGACGATGGCAGTAATGAGCGCGGTTATGTGCTGTACGATGCCCGCCTCGATGTGGTGCAGGAGCAAAAACAGATATCCACAGTTTGTGGTCATGTGGCGCGACAAGATCCCAGCAACAGATCGCAGACATACACATATATTATGCAGCTGGTCTGGGGCCGTTGGGCACAGACCACCGTGCCAACAGGAAATCCGTTGAATGCAGGTTGGGAATACAGAATATGTGAGCATTTGGAGACCCAGGGTTCAATTTATTACTGCGCTTTTGAGCCACGTGCTGAATCTTTGATTATATGCTCGAATCGTGAACTGCTGACACGCGAAAATCGACGTGCCATGTTGGAAGCTGCAGCCGAAGCAGCCGCTGCGGCGGTGGCAGCAGCAGCAGAGGCAGCAGAAACTGCTGCAGCCGACGCGAACGACCAAAACGAAGTACATAACCAAAATGGGGAGCAGGCGGAGAGAACAGATGCTTACACATGGTCCCAGAGCGATGAGGACGTCTTTATAAACTTCCCATTGCGTCCAGGTGCTGGACGCAATGACTTCAACATACGTTGTACAAACCATCAAATACGTGTCGAGTATTTGTCAGAGACTCTGTTGGATGGCACACTTTTTGCCGAAGTTGACAACGAACTGACTACGTGGACAGTGGAGACGGACTGCTTGAAGATGACGATGATGAAAGAAGCGCAAATGCATTGGCCAAACCTGCTGGCCAATATCGATGCCATTCCCGAATGGCGCCGCAATGGATACGGACAAAACGAGGAACCGACTGCCACAGAAAGCTTGCCCATACCAAATCTGGAAGATCCCATAGAGGAGTGCGACTTTCCATTGGGCATGTCTGATGCAGAAGTAAAGATGGGTATGTAATAACCATAAAAATTTGTTCTACAAAGATATATAAAAACTAATTTATAATTTGGTTTTCAGTGCGCTTCAATTTGCCTGCTCGCAGTATAACCCACACCATATTCCTAGGGTCGACTCCGCCATTATTTTCCACATCTCTGCGAGCCGGTTTCCCAGCGGCCTTCACAACACGCCAAGGCGTTGACGCAGCTGCCTGGCTGCAGGTCTACAATCCCGCCAAGCCTAACGAATGGGGTGTACGCCACGAGGGTACGTTACATGCCTTTGGATATGTCCAGGCCTCCAAAGAACAGCGTAAATTCGTCGATTGCTGCCCTGATTTAGATTATGCGGTGATATGTGAGACTATTCGCAATGTCTTTATATATAAGCCTCGATACGATACAGCGGATGGATTACGGAAACGGAATGGGCCTCAGGTGGTAATTGGGAAACAGAGCCTTGTTACTTTGGAAGCAGGGGTGGGCGAAGTGCTGGGCATGACCACAGCAGCCAATGTTATTACAGTGCTGACCGAACATGCTGTTCTATATATACAAGTGACGTCTTAATACATTAAATATATTTGGTCTAAATTATTAGTTAGTTTGTACGGAAAATACCAGAGCTGTTTCAATTCAACGGAATAGGGATATTTATGATTTCTGTTTCAGATTCGGTCAGCTGTTAAAATCTGCTTCATGCCAACTGCAGTCTAAATAAAGCAACTAATGCTGCAATGAACCCTTTAAACGAATCTTTGAATTGGCGCCTAGTTGGTTAAATTGGGATGGCGTTGTTCAGCACTGTTCCAGTCATATGAAACACCTCTCAGAACTACCACATGTGTTTGTTGCTGCACATGTGTTTGTTTTCTTTTTTTTTTTGTGTACTGAATTCATTGTAATTTTGTGTATATTTATACAATTGCCTAATGTGCACTTGTAATTGTGCATGACAATTGATTTTGTGTGCGCTTATCTACGCAGTTGTGAAATTGTGTTCATATCAGCTGTGCAGCACCGCATGTGTCAAGCAGTTGGCAACTCCCGGCCGAAACGCGTGCAATTTTTTTACATAAATAGCCGCGCAGTTAAAGTGAAACGTTTTGTAGTTTTTGGAAACAGTTTGTGTTAATATCGTCGTGTTAGCCCCAGCTAGAGCAGCGGCAAAATCAACAATTCGAGTCTAAATTAACGCGCAGTTAGTGTGTAATTAAGTGTAAATACAGTGTGTATTCAATTGTAATTCGTTGTGAAATTCTATTAAACTTACACACACACACACACACAGCAACACCATCAACATTATCATCAACACACCCACACCGTCATCAACCGACACACTCAAACGGAGCGCGTCTTCTTCTAATAAGAAGAAAACTTTGCTATCGCTGGCCAGTGCAAGATATCAAGACAACGAATCTGAATCTTATTCCTCGCCTTCGTCCCTGTGTCCGTTCTCGTGCCACGCTCTGCATAAATATTTTGGTGTGTTCTTTTTTCCGGTCCGGCACGTTGTGCAGTGGCGGCCAATTCAGCCAACAACGGGAAAGAAAAAAATCCCACACAACATCGGTGTTGGGGGCAGCGTCGAAGCGCGATACCCATACATACACATACCTATTATAATTATATGTGTAGCAGCTAAATTTTTGTTTTCAATTCGAATTACTTATTAAAAAAACGACACTGTTCGAGGCAGAGTCAGTCAATTTTATATATTATATATTTAATTTTTTTTTGTGTTAATTATCAAGCAAATTGTGGAATCGTGCGTGGCAAAAGCACAAATAAAGAAAAAATTAAAAACCCCAAAAAAAGCGAAACTGAAAAGAGACACAAGCTGTGAAAACATCAACAACAATAAACACAAGCAGCAAGTGACAGCGGCTAAAAGTACATACATACATATATACGTACATACATACAGACAGACATACATATATATGCACATATATTGACACTGGTCAGTTCTTTCAATTGGTTACACAACCCCCAAGAACAACAACACAATAGCAACAACAGCACCAGCAACAAAAACAACATATGAGCAAAAAGCAGCACGCGGCGGTAGTCTTAAGCACATACACATATACACATACTATATGCACACACACATACACACAAACGCAAGAATAACAATAGCAACAACAAATCAACATCGGCCAAAGCAGGTCATTTTTGTTTGTGCCACTAGTTTCCAATTTCGACGTTGACAGCGGAACGGCCCAAAACGTCAGCGACGTTGCAACATCACAAGAAACAACAATAACAACACTCAGCTGAGCGAGCAGCGACAACAACGTGCGAAAGCGACCGCCTGCAATATAATTTATTTATAAGAATTTCATTGGAGTGGTGCCTCTGTTTCTGCTTCTGCTTCTGCTACCTCTTCTACCCGCACACACATACAAGTACAGACACTCCTGTGCTTTTTGATTTACACTTGCCGGTAAGTTTGTTTCGGCGTCTCATGTCGTACGCGTGACCGAATCGTGCATTTTTATACTCTATACATGAAATGTTCAAGAGTATATTAGGTTTGCAGGAGGTGAAAAATGTAACAGGCAGAAAGAGGCGCGGCAGACCCCACAAAGTGTATACGACATTCTTGATCAGCATGACAAGACGAGTCGATCTAGCCCTGCCTGTCTGCCTGTCCGTCCGTCTGTATGAACACCTAGATCTCAGCGACTATAAGACCTAGAGACTCCAAATGTTGCACAAAGATGCGTTATGTGTGTACGCTGTGCAAGTTTGTTTTATTTTTTTGATTTCCCCCCACTTCTCCCGATTTTCCGTTCGTATAATCACCTATGTCTCGGAGACTATGAGACCTAGGAACACCAAATTTATTTATTCCAAGATACCTTATATGAACACGTAGAAAATGTGTATTTTGGAATTTCCCCTACACACATGTACAGATTATTTCAAAGTCGGGACACCCGACTTTAGCTTCTCCACTTGTTTTTTCTCTCCATTTTGATACCCTGTACCCAAAGAGTAAATTGGCATACTAGTTTATTCCCATTAGTCAAGTCCTATTGTCGCTTGTCTTTCTGTATGAACGCTTAGATCTCAGAAAGTATAAGAGCTATTATACATACTATCTTATTGTTGTAATTACTGTTTTTTTTTTCAATCAGTTCTAGTTTTAAACAGAAATTAAAAAGTAATATACGCATATGCATATATTTAGTACTTTTTTTCTTTAAAGTGGGCGCAGGGTTTTAAAGGGTCGGCCGCACGACTCTAGCATTAATTTCTTGGTTATTTTGAGACAATGACTATAATCAAATATGTACTCAATTCTCAATAATTGACGTTGGCTGCACTTTTGCCATTTGACTTGACCTTGGGCCATGGTAATTCCAGCTAATGCGTAATTACAGCTGCCGCCATTGCCTTAATTTTATATTTGTCTTGTACGTACATACTTGTACATACATACATACATACTATGTATTTATATTGATTTTCAGTGGTTTTTCTTCAAATGACTGAAGCTGGAGTATAGTCGCAAACGCAACAATTTTCCAAATTCATTTTGCACCAATCATGGAAGATTCTTTAAAACAGGTTCTACTAACATTTTGGATCAGCATTGTTAGTTTAATTTTTTTGGAAGTGCGCTTTGCAGCCTTGCCGGCAGTCGTGAGTCAAAATCGGCCTAAAATTAATCATCAGACGACTTAACAAATGCCAATTTTATGAATATATAGTAGTGTTGATCAGCATGACTTTATGAATCTATGTATAAGTTTGATCATTTTTGTGAATTTCATCAATTTATTAATGAACCATATAAACTATGGTATGGTTGAAAGATAATATAAAAAATGAAAACCTAGATTTTAATCCAACCAAATCATATACTACATTTTATTGTTAATCTCAATAACTAAGCCTACTTCCGTTTCCGAGTTCAATCGCTTAATTAGTGAATGCTTCCATAATCGGAAACAATTGAGTTATTCTGTTTAAACAATATGGCAAATCTATTCAGATTTCTTTTTAAATTTAACATTGCACATTCCACATTACTTAATTGAATATGGAGCAATTGTCAAGATGTCTGTTTGCTTGTATGAACACCGAGAACTTAAAACCTATAATAGCTAACGATAGCAAACTTGGTATATAGACTTGTCTCAAGCGAGTTTATAACAAGCCATATGTATTTTATAGAAATTTATGTTTGTGTTACAGTTGCACCAAAAGGAATGGGTACAGGGTATTCAAGAGTTGGGCTGGCATGACACGTGATATATTATACAGTTTTTTCAGAAGGTGTCTATCAAATGTGGAGAAAAAATTGTATTTATTTGTTTTATTTTCGCTGATCTTGGGCAGTAAATACTTTTGACACTCTACTATATTTGAATATTTGGATAGTTTGGGATCTCTTCGATATGATCGATAAGTTGATAATTGTAGACAAAACTTAAACATTTTCATTAGTCGTCCATCTTGCGTTTCTTTGGACTTTATTGTTAATTATATGACAATTTAGTTTCTCACCCACGTTGGACGCCATTGTCATGTTTCGTTGCTCACGTAACCTGTCTGACCTATAACCTTGATTTTCGAATTTCTCGTGCGTGCGCGTGAGCGTCTACTCTTAGGCGTGAGGCACCCCTTTCCGGCCACACGCAATCGACTCGGCTTGACCTCACGTACTTGTCCATTAACGCGCTAATCAAGAAACAAAGAGAGGCAAATGAAAAAGCGTGTACGAACTTGGCCTTGAACGTGTAAAAGGTTTCTGGGATTTTAACAAAAAAAAAAAAAAAAAAAAAAAAAAACGAGAAACACCAATAATTCGATTTCCAATCAATTTCAAACTACACATATTGTTGTCGTTGTTGTTGTTGTTGTTGACATTGTCTGGCTCTGCCCGACCACATTTTTATCAAGTCATTCACTTGAGCCGCTCCAACGCGCCAAAGCTTTTGATTTCGTTTTGCTTTTGTTTCTCGCCTCCATTGTCTTAATTAATTAATTAATTGCAAAACTGTGTCTTACTTTCTTTTTTCATTTTTGTTGTTGTTGTTGCTGCTAAAAGGCTTTACAGAATTCTCAAAATTTTCCCCCTTGAACTTTAAACAGCGTAATGCAATTTCAAAGTCATTGACGACGTCATATGTGAAAGGGGGTTGTAGGCGCATTACTCATACGTCGCGTGTGACGCGCGCGAATTCTAATGCAATCAGCCACTGGGGTTGAAAGCACTGCAAAGAACGAGAGAACCCCATTTTTTGTTGTTTTTAAATTTTACTTTCTCAAAATCAAACACATTATGTATATTTATGTATATGTGCGTGTGTGTGTTTTCAGTAAATTTCGTTTGATGGCGACAGTCCATCTGATGACGTCATGCACTCAAAAAAGATAACAGGTGAAATGGCAAACACAAATTTGCCTATCATGCCGCACCAGTTTAAAACAGACAGAATCAGCATGAAAATGCAGATTATATCTGAAACATCTCGACCATGACTCACCCAACAAACAACTGAGTATTGAGTATTTCAATAGAAATATAGTATAGCCAGTAGTGGGCCATGGCGGCCCATTGAATGCATATTCATTGTCATACCGTCGATCTATTGATGGCTTCGGCGAGTCGCGAGTTGAACTTAATTAGTTGCGTCGACTCTTCGGAGTGCGCACTGTCACATGGGCCCATGCGTTATCACGATGACTAGCCATAAAACAAAGCACTAAGCCAGCACATAATTGTTTTGTTGATTGTGCGCCAGAGGCCAAAACATACATACAGAGGCCGCTCAAAAGAATCGCAGCCAACTTTGCCAAAATGTTATTAGCGAACTACTGTTTCGTAACTAAATGGATCAAAAATAGCCAGTCAATACTTAGCGTCCATTACATGGCAATAAAGTGAACAAGTTACAGAAAGTTGTGAAATGGTATAGGCTCTAGAAAATACCAGAACCCATAAGTACGAAAATATCCCGAGCAACACTTATTCCCCTACACAGTCAGCAAAGGTGCTTTTAGGCCTGAGAGTGTGGAAGGTATTTTAAGTTCAGGATTCATCATCGGCTTTTTAGTTGCTCTACCTATCCTTTAGCTATACATTTCCAAGCTTTAGCTAATCAGGCACTATGCTTACCGATTTTTTTGACGAATGAAAATAATTTTTTATTAAAAGCTGATTAAATTATAAATAAATTGAAGACTACGTTTCATCGTTCAACAAACTTGATCTTTATTTCTAGCTGCATGCTACTGGTGTCTTAAGCAAATACAATTTATAGAGCATCTAGATCCACTATAGCTGAGCAACATTTATTAGGGATATCGTTGAACTTGTTCCCTTCTATGGGAAATAAGGTTGGCATTACTGTTTCTCATTATTAAACGTGGGAACTAACCTCTACTAGCCATATTTGAGACTTTATATGAGCATTACTGGAGACTGAATTTCATCTGCGTTTTCGCACTTCAAAGCCATTTTTTAAATCTGAAATTTGCTGGACAAACAAATACATGGATAAGCATTACTTATTGGCTTTCAATTGCAAATAAAACATATTTTGTATAAATTAAATATTGATAGATCTTTTTAAAAAATCAATTTGCTTGCCTTCTTGGGACATTCTTTCTATTAATCTGAGACGGTCATAGATAGCAATAGGAAACTATTATAATTTTCATCAAATCAATGGAGGTCTCATTGGTTTTGTGTTTGGGAAATTATGTCTTTTAACACTCAGATCTTTCAGTATTTGAATCTGTATGTGGGTATTAAATGGAGTACTATAATAGAGACGGCTGCATAACTGCGATCATCGATTGGAAATCATAATACTCGTATTGTTGCTGAATTGAGTCCATTAGCTATTTATTTACGAACCGAAGTGTGCAAACTTTAATGCGCATATTGTAGTGGCAATAACATGACCTTGCCCTTGCCTGAAATCCTAGCTGTTACAATGTTTGCTGTTATGCCTAATCGCAATGTCAATATACGAGTATATAAGTAGTATGTGAACAAAACAAACACACACACACACACACAAAACACGTGTAGTAAGGCTCTCATGATGATGCCTCATAAAGCCAGTCCCACGATAATACGAGTATTCGTAAGTACTTAGTAATAAAGGGTAATGGCAAAACCTCGGGCAAGGTTGGTAGTTGGTAGACGCATTGAAGGCGCATTAAAAGCTAATTAGTCCGTCTCTGTCACGGCCCCCCCCCCCCTCCCCACCTACCCGCCAACCATACCTTTTTTTTCAATTGAACTCGTAACTGCATTTTAGTATCTTTCCGTGCCATTTCGATGTGGCACTTACAAAAAGATAAGCACAAACCGCAAATTCTAAACTTTAATTAGGCAATAGCAGCTGCCTTTTAAGGTGTCTGTGTGGGTGTGTGGATGTGTGTGTGTGTGTGTTACTCATAATTCAATTGGCAACTTGT